ATCGCCATAAAATTCTCTGATAAGGTTGATCTTCTCGATGGATTTTTATCTGTCGATACATTTTTTCTATATCGGCTGTAAAAACTACTTTATGCTGCCTCCATCTTAACAGGATTTCAGATAGGTTCTGTTGGAGTCTTGGACCAGTAAGCATCAAATCATTTAGGCTAACATTGGATGTTGATTTACTGGAAGCATCAAAAACAACTCGTAGTTTTGTGGTTGTACTGTCCATTTTAAATACTGCTTGGTGTGGTATGTAGTATCTGCCTTCATGAAGATTTTGAAATGATACTTTTTTCATGTGCCCTAATTTCAAATATTCATCCATGAATGCATCGTATTGTTCTTTAAGGCAAGGTTCTCTCAAAAACCGGTTTTCCAGACTTCTTAAACGGGCAGCCGCTCTAGGTTTTGTTTGTCCTAAAACTTGCGTGCCCCGTTTGAAAGGTATTCTGACTATGAATCTTCCTTTTTCATCTCGATACGTAGTCTCATCGTAAAATTTTTCGCAGATTTCGTCATCTTCTGATATATATTTATTTGTTTCTGGCAACTCTTCTAATTCCCAAAATTTCGTGAGTTGGCTATCTTTTTCGTGCCGGGAAATCACTTGAAGTGGAAGGTGGTTTGACGATACTCCTCCAGATACCATCCATCCTAGTTCCGTATTTTGCTTAAGAAGCCCTTCTCTTGTTTTTTGAATGCCATTTAGAATAATATGCGTATATTCTCTCGCTCCAACTATAGCATCAATTGGACCTGGTTTCATGTAGGTTGGATCTGCTAGGATTTCATTCGTGTACGAGTTGTCGACTTCTAATTGATATCGTGGAGTTGATTGTGTTAATTTTGGAAGTACTAACATTTTCACTTAAGTGAAAAATTGCTCGGAAAGCGTGGCTTGATGAGGAGATCTACTGCCGAGGAGGAAACTTGTGGGCTACCATCTCCTATGCCTGAAATTTCTGCTCTGATTTTCTGACGTGGGAGATTAAGACGCTGGGCTGCGTCTTCTGTTATAAACGCAGATTGTGATCCTTGGTCAATGAGGACACGTAAATACTGGGTGGTGCTAGCTGTTGCTACTTCTACCAATGCTGTGGCAAGCAGGACATTCTCTTCGTGGTCTTTTACGTGATAGTTTGAGGTATTTTGTCTTTGATCATTTCTCCTGAAGTTGTTGCGTGTTTGGATATTTTCATTTTGATTGGAGGCTCTTTGATCAGTTCTTCTTGATGTCTGATGTCCTGAGTTGTTGAAGCTTCGTTGATTGTTTTCATTATGTAGGATTGTATGATGATGCTTCCTGCAGACATTGCAAGTTACACTGCTGCGACATCTAATATGTTTTTCGTGGTTCAGACAGTTCACGCAAAGGTTTATTTTCTGAACAAAACGATTTTTTTCTTCTACCGACAATCTTCTAAAAGCTTGGCAGTGATATATCGCATGATCTTTCTCGCAATAATGGCAAGCTGAGTTGTTTCTTCTGCTTGGGCTTGTTGCTTCCAGAGATTGAAATCTTCTTTCAAGAAATTCCATGAATTGTTGGTAGTCTTGAATTTTGTGTGGTTCCGTAATTGTTTGTTCATACATCTTGTTGGTTTCGGAATCCCATTTCCGACTGATTATTCTGATGATGATTGGCCCCCATGACTGTGTGCTTACTCCTATATTTTCTAGCCCACGAGTACATTCTTTGGTGATGTCATGCAAGAGCTTCAATTTTTCAACGTTTCCGGAGGAAAGGTTTGGGAGGTCTAATAACTTGTCTATCAGTTTCGAGGCTAATAGTCGTTTGTTTTCATATCTATTCTGAAGCAAGTCCCATGCTGTCTCGTAGTTGTTTTCAGTGGTTGTCAGATGCTGAATGAGTCTTGCAGCTTCTCCTCGAACATGTGTTTTGAGTAGTTGTATCTTCTCTGCCTTGGAAAAATGTATGTTGTCGTGGACTACTCGCAAAAAAACATCATGGAAAGAGCCCCAGTTCTCGTAGCCTCCGTGAAATGTTGGAATGGTTATTTGTGGTGACGCAAGATGTCTTACAGGCCAGATTGATTGGGTCTGTGGTAATTGCGGCTGACATGAAGCGTGTGCCTCGACTGTTTCCGCTGATAATTTTTCCAACGTGTCTTCATACTTCATCTGATACTCATGAAACTTATCATCTCTGAAGTAGGCACTGGTGAATGATTTTTCATGAATTATATTATCTCTTCGTGCAATTCTTGAATAGCTTCCCATTGTTTTACCAGCTTTTTCTGTTGTAATTCATACCTTATTCTTGATTTTGATTCAGTTAGATCTTGGTTGATTTGGTCGATTGTTCTATCCAATTCCTCACACTTAAGATTTTGTTTCTTCAAAAGTAAGAGTTGTGGACTATTTTGTAATTCATCATTGATCGTTTCAAGGTACTTCTTGCAAGTCTCATACCTCTCTTTTATTTGTTGCAGGTATTTTTTAGTAAAGTAGGCGTGATTTGGTTCATTGAGCTTGTTTAGTTCATGATCATTTTCTTGAACTGCATCCCATAGTTCTTCTAGTGCTCCAAGTTTTTGTTCTACATACTGTTCAGTTTTTCTTGATTGGCCATCTTTTTTACAGTTGGTGTAAAGCTGCATGATCTTTTTGCCTAGTTCTTCTTGCCGAGCAGCACGTAAGTTCATTTCTTCCATCATTGTTCTGTTGATCTTGCAATGGGCTTAGCTGGACCTCTGGAACCGCTATTGGTGGAACTTCTGGGAATGTGGTTGACCGCTGTTGGGCCTGGTTGAACTTCTGAGACCGCTGTTGGTGGGACCTCTGGGACTCTGGCTGATGGACCTGTGGATCGCTATTGGTGGGACCTCTAGGACTCTGGTTGATGGCTGCTTGGTTCGGTTGGACCTCTGGGCCTGCTACTGTTGGTGGGACCTCTGGGACTCTGGCTGATGGACCTGAGGATCGCTACTGGTGGGACCTCTAGGACTCTGGTTGATGGCTGCTTGGTTCGGTTGGACCTCTGGGCCTGCTGTTGGTGGAACCTCTGGGACTCTGGCTGATGAACCTGAGGATCGCTACTGGTGGGACCTCTAGGACTCTGGTTGCTGGCTGCTTGGTTTGGTTGGACCTCTGGGCCCACTGTTGGTGGGAAGGTCACGGCACTTGCACTAGAGCACTTGTTGTAAGTTGGAAAAAGGACCCAAGCCAGACAAAGCACTTGCTATAAGGGTTAAACCTGTAACCAGACAAAGCACTTGCTACAGGTTTAAAGAAGGGCCTAATGTAACCAGACAGAGCACCTGCTACAATAAGGCTAAAGAAAAGTAATTGTTAGAGCGCAGTCTCACGACTCTACTAGCGTTGCTAGGCCAATGGTGATTTGGGCACAATTTAAGTAAGAGAAACAACAATAAGTTTGATCACCTTTTATATACAATAAATGCTGATGTTGCACACATCGATTGTCGTCATTTCCAATAATAAAAGTAGGTTGCTTATAATTAATTAATTCTAATATGTACAGTATGGTAAAAATATAAGATTAAATGTTCCAGTTTGGATAAATGGACAACTACAATCCCTGGAAATTTCAGCTCATTTGGACTTATAGTTCTAGAAATAAAATCCTGTTAAGTAATTTGGGGTGATTTATCAGTTTTTCAATTTTTCTGAGTGTCTTTTTTCATAGAATCTGGCTCCAAATCTCAGAATAATTTAGTGTATGGAGTTGGGGGATCCCTTAAAGAAACATTAAGACACAAAATCTCAACAAAAAAAATATTTGAAATATCATCGTTTTAGTAAGAAGAACCTTCATCATTTGGATTTTGGAAAACTTTGGAAGGGCATAACTTTTTTTCTATTAAAGATAGAAAGCTGAAATTTTCAGCGATTCTTATGCCAGTAAAGAACTACAATCCCTGAAAATTTCAGCTCATTTGGAGGTATAGTTCCAGAAATAAAATAGTGCCCAAGTAGCACATAATATGGGGTAAACATCGTTTTTCAGTTGGGCCAATATTTATTCATTTTTGTTGATAAATCAACACAGTACCAACATTGGGGCAACGTTAGTTTTAACTATGTGGAAACAATATTTAAAAATAATCTTGTACCAATATTGTTTTCATAGATTAATTAACTCTTCAGTAATTTGAATATTGGCCCAAGACTTCTCACTACAATATTGATTTATGAAATATTGGTCAAATATTACATTTTATATTATTGAAACAATATTGTAATATAATATTAATTCAATATTGGCATTTAATTTTTTATTGATATTTAAATTCACTTCAAAAACTTTGTACACCCAATATTTATTTCCAATTTTTTCGCAATATTGATACTTTTTGAAAAGCCCAATGAAGGGCCAATATTTACATACTAATTTTTACCAAGGTTAGATTTTCTGAATTGAAAATGTTGGTCCAATATAGGGTATTCAATGTGCGCACTTGGTGTGCCGACCAAAAAATAGATGGAGACTCTGTCTTTACTTTACCTGTCTTAAACCTGGTTCCGGGATGAAGCCAAAAATTGGTTGTTTTCTCTCTGCGGGACCCTGGCGGGACTTAACCATGCTGATGACTTGTGATACAGCGCAACGGGTCCACGGATGGTCCGGCAAAGAGAAAACACTTCTTAGTCGGTCCTTATAATTGGTCCGTTACCTTAATTAAATATAATATAAAGCCAAGATTTACATACGTCTCCGGGCCAATATTGGTAATTTCAATTGGCTCTATATTGCATAAAGTTCTTGATATGATATTGATTATTTCTTTTTGGGCTAACATTTGGTTACGTTATTGTACCAACGTTGGTATTTGTTTTTGGGTATATATTGACATACGTTCTTGGACAAATATAGCAGAATGTCCACATCTTTTATTGGGCCAACATAGAGAATCTGACTTAGGCCAATAAATCGTAGTTATTGTCCCAATATTGGCCCAACATGGGAGTGCTACTTGGGTGTTATGCAATTTGGGGTGATTTATCAGTTTTTCTGAGTGCCATTTTTCACAGAATCTGGGTCCAAATCTCAGAATAACTTAGTGTATGGAGATGGGGGGATCTCAAAGGACTATTAGGACACAAAATCTCAACAATTTTTTTTTTGAAATTTCATCGTTTTAGTAAGAAGAACCTTATGATTTAGATTTACCTACTGTGATGATGGATAATTTTCTGTGTTCAATTCACTCACATCCAAAATCTTCTCTTGACTTCAAAAATGAATAGGAAAATAAAACAATACTTACATACTTCTAAAGCATCTAATTTAAACTTACTTACAACATACAATTACACGAAAATTTCTAGTTCTAATCAAAATCAGTTCTAGAATCAATTACAAAACTTGTACAATGTAGTTCCTGCACATAATACTAGAGACTTGTGCGAAATTGTTTCAAGAACTGGCTTGGATCTGATCAAAAGAAAATAAACCAAAAAAAAATGCAAGTGAATACAATTTCAAATAGAAAAAAAAAAATTAAAAGGCAAACAATCAGATTAAAAGAATAAGTCGAATTAAAAGCTTATATAAATTGCAGTTACTGCTTAAACTATGTCAGTAAGTAAATAATGTAATACTAAAATTAAAACCCTCAAAACTCAGTCAAAAAAATTATTTGCCAAATACACATTTCCAATAACCTGATTGCTCCAGCCTTCTAAAACCGTAAGCAACTATTCTTTCCCATTTTCCTTGGGTACAGACCGGCCTCGAGAGCGAGAATGAGACCTGGAGCGCCTGTCTTCTCTATTATTCGAACGAGACCTCGATCTACTTTTCTTCGAAGCTGATCTGGATCTGCGCGACCTGGAACGGCTACGAGATCTCGAGTTGCTGCGAGACCTTGAACGACGATCACGGGAACGGCTCCTGGATCTGCTACGAGACCTGGTCAAAATAAATTCGATATTAAATTGGATTTTTTTTTTTTGCAAACAAAAACATGTTTTAGATACTTCAAAGCTTCAGAAACAATAACACTAATATGTTTAATTTAAAACCCACACCTTGTAGTTATAAGTCTGGATTCCCTAAAAAGAAATATTTGCCTAGATTAGACACAGAGTCATCTGAGTTTGGGAGCCATTTCATTAGTAAGTGGTGGTTTGACGGCTTAAGAGCATCAGAAGACAAAAATTAAATATTTCCAAACCTGCTACATAGGGCAGTGGGAAAAATAAATGTATGATTGTTATGGGTCAGCCCAATATGAACATTTTTATCAAGTTTCACAGACTATTCTTCTTTTGGTTCAAGCTCTTCTAGGTCAGTCATTAAATATCAAACTCATTGATTGAATCAGAAATAAGTGAACAAACTTAAAAAATAAATAAAAAGGTAGGTAATGAAACAATATATTGGGAAAAACATCACACTTCATAATAAGACAGGATTTCCAACATCAACTAGGTGTATGTAATATCAACTCGACACAACAGATTTATTCTTATATGTAGTTTTCTTTATAAATAATTAAAATGCATCAACAGGACCGGCACCATTTTAAGCTGAGCTATTTTCATCCCAACACAAAACAAAAAAAATTCTGAGTTTTGAATAATCAATAATTTTTCTAGCTCACTAGTAAAATATCGACTGATTATTAGTAGAAATTTCCATTTGTATTACCTGCATTATTTTGTCAAAATATAAATAAAGATTTTTACCATTTTTCATATTGTGAGCTCGTGAGACTTGACGATAGTAGTATTTCGACTAGGTAGAGAGGATGATTGGAGACTGAGGGTTCAACAAAATCTCACTGGCTCACAGTAGCTAGACGTAGTAGACTAGTAGCGGTCAGAGTCTCAGTACTATTTGATTTAAGCAGTCATGTCGAGGTGACTCAATAAAGCGGCTCTACGCAGTCTCAGTGAAGAGGCTTACACGAAAGGTCGAAGCGAGTATGCTCAATGTGTTACCTTACACTATCATCCGGCCACACAATATCGACCTATAAACATGGCAGTATTGTCAGGCCACAATTTCAAGTTTGTTTTTATACTCTCAGTTCTAGAGATCAGATAAACACATGCTGTACAACAATTAAATTAAATCTAATAATCATAAGAAAAAAAAATTAAATAAAGTAAATAACAAGTTGTACAGCATTTAAAAAAATTAAATAGGAACTGATCAGAAATCGTTTGCTTAGTGAGGTTTAAAGAGAATTAAGTTATAAAACTTTGGAAATCACAAAGAAATTACTTGGCATTGTCTCTCTATAATGATTGCATTTGAAAAATACCAAAAACGACCCCTTTTATAGAAAGTTCCCTAAATTTCCATCAAAACATATATATTGATTAATTTGATTATTATTAATTTCTGATCAATTCCATTAAAACAAAAATTGAACTGAAATAATTTGGAAAAACGAAATCAATGTCCTATTTACCTGTTCCTGCGGCTTCTCCTATATTTTCCGCAATCTCTAGCGTAATGTCCGCGGTCGCCGCATTCGTAGCAGCGATCCTCAGGATGAAATGGACGTCCTCTGGATCTTGGCGGAGGTCCGCCACGGCTACGCTTGCTGGCGGCTTTAGCGTTGGACATTTCCACTCTGGCCCTTCTTCCACAAATGCTTCTTCCATCTGGAAATTGAGCAAACAAAGTGGAACATTAGTTTCATGTAATAACAAAATATTTCCACATATTGCCAGGTATTTCCCTAATATTATCACATATTACCAGGTGTTGCCATGCTATTGATAGACTAAAATCAAATATTTGTCTCGCCAGAATTCTAGGTATTGACCTATTATCCACAGGTATTTACATGTTATTAACGGGTATTAACATAAATTGCCTAGATATTTTGCAAGTATTGACGCATATTACCTACATATTAACAAGTATTGCATAGTATTTATTTATTGATACCATAAGTATCGACAGCTATAAACAGCCAATGCACGATGATCTTCTGAGGTTCCATGAGTGTTGTGTTGAGAAATCTAAGGTTGAGAACGAGATGACGTTGAAGTGCAAATATATTCAATTCTCTAGGAAAAATTCTCCTAAACTAAATGACTATTATATAAATGATAATGTTATTATTAAAAATGTTTCTAGTATTCGTGATCTAGGTGTTATATTCAATGCAAAATTGTCATTCCCCTGTCTGGGCTTTCTTGATTTATACTTTTAAAATTTTTCAAGTCATCAGCATATAATAAAAATTGGACATGATAGAAGCAAGACCCTATATCATTAATAAATAAGCAGAACAGGAGTGGTGCAAGATGACCCCCTTGAGGCACCCCAGAAGTGACACTAATAACCTCAGATTGAAATGACTTCACCTTTACAATCTGGCTTCTGTCTACAAGATAAGAATACAGCCATTGAAGAAGTGAACCACATAAGTACACCATATTTAGAAAGTTTTTCTATCAACAATGCATGACACCCTATCAAAGGCCTTGGAGAAGTCAGTATAGACAGAATTTACAACCTGACCGGCTTCCAAGGCCCCCAATATGACTCGTTCATGCACTAGCAAATTTGTTGTTTTGTATTTCCTTTATATATTTGACTTCACGAGTGTTCTTCACATGCCTATTGTGATGACATTCAAGAATATCTGTCATTTTTTAGAGATAACTTCGCTCGAGCAGACAGAGGATCAAGCATGGCGTCCCTCAAGGCTCTGTGCTGGTTCCTCATCTACATCAATGATCTCCCAAATTTCTGTGAGATTGTGAATCATTTAGTTATTTTATTTGCTGACGACACAACGACCTCACAACAATATCACCCCTCAGAACCTATCAAAGAGATCATAGAAAACAGCAAATCAAAAATTGAGAACTGGTTTTTAGCTAAATAACTCAGTCTCAACAATAGCAAAACCCAAAATCTTAATTTCACATTAAGAACCAATGAGTGTGAGTTACCATGTGACGAGAGGGTCAAAGTTCTTGGTGTGTTTTTCGACCCAAGACTCACTTGGGAAGCTTATGTGGACAACCTTAACGCTAAGCTGTCCAAAATTACATTTCTGATAGAGAACCTTTCGAGGACTGTTTCGGCTTCCACTGTACTTACAGTTTAACATGGCTGCTTCGGCTCGAATATGTCATATGCAATACTAAACTGAAGTCATGCCCCAGAAGCCAAGCAAATTTTTAAACTCCAACGTAGGTGCATAAGAGGTCTAAAGTATGGAGACTGCTGTAGGGGTAGCTTCAAGAACTCACGGATTTTGACTTTCCCCTATGTTTTCATATTGAACTGCCTTATCTAGGTCAAAAGAATTCAGGAAATCTTCCTGACTCATGTGCAACCAGAAATCGTGACAAACTGGTATCCAGCTTCCATCGATTGGAAAGAACTCGAAGGGGTTCAGATCACTTCAGGATAAGATTTTTTAATGCTCTTCCTGCTAATATCAAAAACCTTGCAAGAAAATTCATTGGAGAAATTAGAAAATACCTTCTTCAGGGTACATTCTACCTACTCTTTCGAGGAGTACCTTGATGGTAATTTTGTTCTTGATTAAGAAGTTCGGTACTGTTCTGTCTGATCTACAAACTGTGACGACTCAATGAAGCTTTTAAATCTCACTCCTCTTGAGAATAGAAAACAATTTGATGTCTGTACCCCTTTTCAGGATTTTGCATGTAATATTAGAAATCTCAGATCTTATTGCAGAGATTGACTTCCATATTTCCGTTTGAATTTCACAGCAGAAAAAATTGTTTATTTAGCCTTCCTTTTCATAGGACCAATTATTATGTCCATAGATAGAATGTGTAAGAATGCTAAAGTGTTACAAAAAAATGATGACATTGATATTTTTAACTGGGATTTTAAGGGCCAGTATTTCAATATTACCTTAAAAACAAGGCTTACCTAAAGTACCCTTAATGTTAAGGTGAACTTGAAATCAGTTCATAATCGGCTGGTATTTCCAAGTTACCTTAAAAATCAAGACTTAACGTCAAGGCGAACTTGAAATTAGTTTATTCAAGTGGCTTAAAATCCATCTTGAATCAAGGGAACTTTGATATATGGTGAAACTTGTATTAAGGATGACTTAACGTTATAACACATATAACGTGTTATATTTTATAACAGAAAATTATTTGTGTTTTAATATGTATATTGACTGATTTTTTTTGATTTCTTGATCTTATTATAGTCCTGGTATACTAGAGGGTATACTTGCACTGGCTCTAGCACGCTTTAAAGCTAATTTCCACTGTGTACCTTGAATACATTTATCATTATGCACTTATTTTCATAGGAAGTCTTTGGTTTATGCATTCTCAGCCTTCCTTTAATACTAATGAATAATCATTTTTGATCTGAGAGATTATTTTTTATTGGTGTCACCAAACAAACCTTTCTACTTCTTCAACTTACCAAAACATGATCAATAAGACTGCTAATGTTATCCGTAACTCTTGTTGCATTGGTTACATTTATTTCATTTACAAAATATAATATAAGGTCTGTTTCTGCAGAAATCACATACCAGTCATTGGTTGAAAACAGTTAGAAAACTGGTTTTAATCAATAAAATTCACTTTTACTGGTCTGTGATTTGTTCAGAAACAGACCTTATATTCAGGTGTAGTCGAAGGTATATTATTTTTGTTATTTATTAATATCAAAATATCCCAAGGGGCAAACCACCTAGGATTTTTTTGCCAAAAATGTGGGGAATTTGGAGAAATTTAGAGGAATTTGTGGAGAATTTGAAAGAACTCATCGGAATTTATGAGAATTTGAGGAATTTATAGGAAATTTGAAGGAATTTCTGGGGAATTTGGAAAAATTTGTGAGGAATTTAAAGGAAATTGTGGGGTCATGACGTCACTGAGGTTCACATTCTTATTATAAAAAAATGAGAATTAAAAAAAAAAAAAATCTAGTTTTGTGTTGGATGTTGGATATTCATTTTTATTAAAGAAATTCTCCCAAAATTTCACTTCATGATTTAAAGGTCCAAATTTTAAAAATTCAGATGAATAATGAATTTTTTGTAAGTTGATTACCAAGATTTTTCGTGTTATTATTTTCCAATGGAAAAATTTGAAGTTCTGGGAAAATTAGCTTCTCACCTTCCTCTTTACATGCCAGAAGTTTCAAAACTTTCCCTTCACTATTTTTCCAGGAAAACTTTGAAATGTGTGAGACTGTATTTTCAATTAATTCAGTTTTTGTAGATTGATTTCCAAGATTATTAATGTTGGTATTTTCCAATAGAAAAATTTTAAATTTTGGGAAAATGAGCCTTTCTTTTTACATGCAAAAAGTTTCAAATTTCTCCCTTCACTACTTTTCCAGGAAAACTTTGAAATCTGGGAGACTGTATTTTCAACTAATTCAGTTTTTGTAGGTTGATTTCCAAGAATTTTCATGTTGCTGTTTTCCACTAAAAAAATTTAAAATTTTGGGAAAAGAAGATTCTCACCTTCCTCTTTACATGTAAAAAGTTTCAAAATTCCCCCTTTTCTAGTTTTCCAGGAAAACTTTGGAATGTGTGAGACTGTATTTTCAACTAATTCCGTTTTTGTAGATTGATTTCCAAGATTTTTCATATTGCTGTTTTCCACTGGAAAAATTTGAAATTTTGGGAAAATGAGTTTCTCACCTTCCTCTTTAATTACATGCAAAAAGTTTCAAAATTTTCCCTTCACTAGTTTTACAGGAAGACTTTGAAATGTGTCGACTGTATCTTCAATTAATTCAGTTATTGTAGGTTGATTTCCAATATTTCTCATGATGTTACTTTCCACTGGAAAAATTTGAAATTTTGGGGTAATGATCTTCACACCTTCCACTTTATATGCAAAAAGTTTCAAAATCTTCCCTTCACAGTTGTCCAGGAAAACTTCGAAATGTGTGAGACTGTATTTTCAATTAGGTAGTTCAGTTTTTGTAGGTTGAATTCAAAGATTTTTCATGTTGTTATTTTCCACTGGAAAAATTTGAAATTTTGGGAAAGTGAGCTTCTCACCTTTCTCTTTACATGCAAAAAGATTCAAAATTTTCCCTTCACAGTTTTCCAGGAAAACTTTGAAATATGTGAGACTGTATTTTCAATTAATTCAGTTATTGTAGGTTGATTTCCAATATTTCTCATGATGTTAGTTTCCACTGGAAAAATTTGAAATTTTGGGGTAATGATCTTCACACCTTCCACTTTATATGCAAAAAGTTTCAAAATCTTCCCTTCACAGTTGTCCAGGAAAACTTCGAAATGTGTGAGACTGTATTTTCAATTAGTTCAGTTTTTGTAGGTTGATTTCAAAGATTTTTCATGTTGCTGTTTTCCACTGGAAAAATTTGAAATTTTGGGAAAATGAGCTTCTCACCTTTCTCTTTACATGTAAAAAGTTTCAAAATTTCCCCTTCTCTAGTTTTCCAGGAAAACTTTGAAATGTGTGAGACTGTATTTTCAATTAATTTAGTTATTGTAGGTTGATTTCCAATATTCCTCATGTTGTTATTTTCTATTGGAAAAATTTGAAATTTTGGGAAAATGAGCCTTTAACCTTTCCATTCTTCACATGCAAAAAGTTTCAAATTTTTGCCTTCATCCCACAAATTTGCAGGGAATTTGTGGGGTATATTAAGGAATTTGTGATGGGGTATCTGGAGGAATTTGTGGGGAATTTGCAGGAATTTTGAGGAATTATGCGTAAAAAATTCCCTTTTGAGGAATTGTTTGCACAAATTCTGGGATGGTGGTTTACCCCTTGAAATATCCAATTATTAGGTACACAATTTTTTGGGTAATATGGTTTTTAATTATTAAAAAACCATTAATTTTATAATTTTGAAACCTGGATTTATTTAAACTAACAAACAAGTCTATACAAACTGAGACTAGACTGAGCAAATAACAAGGCAAATAACTACACAAATACAGGGTGTTCCTAAATATCATGTACAGATAGAGGGGGTGATTCTTTGGTTTATTTTATGACTAAAATCGAGACTAAAATTTCTAATAAACATGGGTCGGCAAATGCTTCGTTACAAATCTATAGGGTGTTGAAATTTTAATGTATTCATATTGGAAATGAAAAAGAATATGGCGGCGGGACTTATATTTATTTTATTCATTTATTTATTTATCAACAGGAATATTCTAATTTCACAAAAAAATAAGTCTAAGAATAAAATGTTGAATAAAAATCAAATACCTAACACAATATATAAATGACAAACAGATCATAAAATACAAATTACATTTAAACCAATTATAAAAATAATAATGAAACATCAATCACTAAAATATTTAGGTTTGGTGCCTAATCTATTGATTATTGAGCACCTTCCTAAGAGAGTACAAGGAGGTGTTAAACAAGTCAATTCTCATATTTTGTACATAATATGAATTAAGCTTTGGACTTGACTTTCTGCTAAATTGTATAGATTTACATTTACCTATGTCGAGGTGTATATTATTATTCTTGCACCAATTCTCAAAATGTTGAAGGTCTTCTTAAATAAGTTTAAATCATGTGCATACAAAAAAAAAAAAAAACTATGATGAAAACACTCAATAATATCATTTATGAAAATGTTAAAATGTAATGGAGCAAGATGACCCCCTTGTGGAACTCCAGATGTTACATTATAATCATCAGATAAAGATGTTCCAATTTTTACCCTTTGCTTACAACCTATCAAATTGATTCAAGCCATTTCAACTATATACCACTCACACCATCACCAGAAAGCTTCTGCAACAAAATACCCAAATCAACCCTGTCAAAGCCTTTTCAAAATCTGTATAAATAGAGTCAACTGCAAATCCATTCTCAAGTGCCTAAGGGGGCATGGACCCTGAAAAAACATCACCCTGTAGATTCTGGAAAACATTTGACATGTGCAGTTATTTAGATTATATATTGCGTTAACCAAATTTGAGCTAAAACCCTCAAAAATTCCAGGAGATACATAATATAAAGAAAAAAAATATTGAGACTTTAAACCCTGTAGATTGGTAACGAAGCATTTTCAGACCTATATTTATTAGAAATTTTAGTCATAAAATAGACCAAAGAATCATCCCCTTCCATTTGTACATGATATCCTAATGTAGGAACACCCTGTATAACTTTAATTAACCGTGCTTTGCCTTATCACTAAACTTTTGCCTATAGGATTTTCTTCTTGCATGAACAAATCTACCAACCATGAAAACTTACCTAAACCCCTAACAGCATCTTCGGCGTCTCGGACATCTTCAAACTCCACAAAGGCGAAACCGGGCGGGTTTCTGGCAACCCAAACATTCCTAAGATGGCCATAGTACCTGAACGCGTCTTCGATTTCTTGTTTGGAGGCGCTGTTTCCAAGATCTCCAACGTAAACTTTACTATCCGAATTATATCGAGACATTGCAGAACCTGAAACGATTTGTACATTTAAATTTTATCGATCGGCATTTGCTAGGTAATGGAGGAGGACGCCCAAAGTTTGCAGAGAATGCCCACACACAAAAGAATAATATTATTATGATACTTACCTAGGAAGGTTTTACACAATTATATTGAACTGAATTATTTATAGGTTTATCGACTATTTTTTAATTTTTCTCTGAAAAAGGGATTTGTGTTTTTATTCACATGCAAAAGGGAAAATTGAAAAAATCACCTCACCTAAATAAACCCAGCCAAAAGCAAAACCCACTACTGTCACTGTCAATGTCAATAAAAAATAATGGCGATTTCTTTTGGAAGGTTTAGTGGGCACTGAGTGTATCCGTATCTTTGTCTACCAGCTTGTTTAAGAAAGAGACAAAAATACAACAACCGAGATAAAAATGGCAAACCAAAATAGTATAGTTTCCGTTTTTTTAATACTAACCTGAGAAATAGTCATTAATCAATCTATTTTTCTAGGAAAAAATTAAATTTCTCTCCCTAGGTTAATAATGAAAATAATAAAATACAGGTTTCTGTAGGTACATAGGAAGTTATCATAAGCTGTTGATAGAGGGCACCACTTTCAAGAGGGCGTTCAAAAAAAATAATTAGAGCACAGATTACAAATTATTCATTTTCCAGTTTTTCCACTAGCAGTAGTAAAAAAAAATCTATATATTCCTCGGTAGAGAAAGTCATTATATACCTCACGCATCACGCATTATAAACCTCAACTATTTTAGGGAAGCCCTAACGATAAAATAGTTGATGGAAACAGAGCTGAGCTAAGTACTCAGCAAATGTACTTGAAGTATTTAGGTATTAAGTATTAAATATTTTAAATATACTTACAGTATTAAGTACAATATTGTTCTAATATGTACTTGAAGTATTAAGTATTTTACTTAAAGTTAAAAAAAAACACCGTATAATTATCAGTAGGTACCTCTATTATTTTCAGTATACGGTATTTAGAGTAGGTTTTATATGCATTTAAGTAAATACATAGAGTATTTATAATAATATGTACTTTCTTATAAGTAGGTTCTTATAAATCTATCCCTATCCTAATCAATAAAATGAAATAAATAATGCTATTTTGAGTTTAAACACTTTTAACGCACATTTATTTTCTAGTGAACAGACCTGTTGTTTACTTATAACTAGAACATAACATAAATAATTAACTGATAATTCCAATACCGACAAGTAAAAACGTAATAATCTCAACTCAAAAGACAACGCCACACGTCCAAGTGGATTAATTATTTATTCCACTTATTAATTCTGACATGCTAAAGGGATGCAACTAACACGTGTTTTTTTTCTGCGCCACGCGCATTATTTTCTAGAAAATACTTAAACTAGATACACCAAGTACTAGAGTACATAATAGGATTTGAAGTAAAATATTCTGAATAGTAAAGTAAGTAGGTAGGTACTTAAAATAGTTTGAATACTTCAAGTAGGTATACTTTTGAAAACTACCTAAGTAGTAATAAGTAGGTAGGCAAATTCTAAGGACATTTTTAAGTAAAGTAGTACTTGAAATAAATTGCCAAATTTAAGTACCAATACAAGTACTTACTTTTTTCAAATTGTATTGATTATTTTTTCTTAAGTACTCATCTCCTTATAAAATTACTTAAGTAAAATACTTAAAGTATCAAATGTACTGAATATTTTACTTCACATTTTTCTAATCAGTACCTACCTCAGCTCTGGATGGACAAAAGATGAGATGGAAAAATTGAAAAATAAGAATAAATAAATATACTCACATAATAATATTAATAATAATACCTAAGTAAACATCAAAACATTTGCAAAAATATGGCGGCAGGGGCGTGGCTAACTTCTATATTCATATTTAAAATTTGCAAGAATATGGCGGCGCCGGCGGTACCGGAATTTCTATTTGAAAAGGTTAAGTCACTGTAGGTGGGCCGGGGCCATTGGAAAGGGCTGAAAAGGAAACAACCAATCAAATACCTTGACGATACATAAACCCCGGAAAGGGGCGGGGCTCAACTAACCAATTAAATGCCCTGCTGATATCACTCGCATCTGATTGGAAAGGGGCGGGGCTTATATCCAACCTATCAAATGTTTTGTTGATATCCTTGCGTTTGATTAACGAGTCAACGAGTCAGCCACAGTGTTGCCAGCTTGACGGAATTATCCCCATTTTGAGGAAATTTTCTATTTTCGTTCGCTAAGGGTAGAAGCGAATGCGGAATTTTTAAAGTCTGTTTTTTTTTTTAAAAGATAAAAGTCAAAATGACATTATGTTGGCAAAACCAATGTTAAATTGTCGATGCTTTCAAATTTTTTATGTAGAGAAGGCTTTACTAAATTTTTGACTTGGGGAATTATCTTTAAAAAAAAAACAGACTTTACTTTTTCTTTTATGTCGCAAAATTTGCATATTCAATGAAAAATTGGTAATTTTAAGTTTCTAGTACACGATATACAATAGGTATACAAGGTAGGCCGTTGAACTTAAGACATCAGTAGTGTTCGGTTAATCCTCTTCGAGCGAAAAGATGACATTGATGACAACCACACATGTGACCAGTTTTTTAACTTCAAATGAAAGATTACGTGAGTTTCTGTCAAGAATGTCATCTTTTAGCTCGCGGAGGATTAACCGAATTCGCCTATTATTGAACTTTTTTTATTCAAAAACGCGCCATTTTCGAGATATTGAAATGTCTCCAATTTAAATGGACCACCCTGTATAAGTATGGGTACAACCTCATTCCCGACTGTAAGTGAAGGCGCAATAATTGTTTTTTTCCACTACCGCGCGTAAAGTACTTACGTTACGCACCTTTTAGGAGACATAAAATGTCACGCACCAGTGCGTAAAGTAGTTTCTCTCCCTAGGCGGTGAATAATGAAAATAATGAAAAAATACCTAGGTCAATAATGAAAATGACGTCATTACGCAAGGATATTGTCATGTTTATATTGGTTCAATTTCAATTTCATACCTCAATTTAAAAAAAAAATACGGTTTCTGTAAGTACAGTTGCGATTTAAAAAAAGTAGTACAAGAAAAATCTCCAAAATCTCCTGGTCTATATACATCAATTTTATTAATAACCAAAAATGACATATTTTTTGCATTTTTCAACAAGTTTCTCACGAACGCTTCAATGACATTACTTTGGCATTTTTCCACCCGTTTTTAATAGGCATGGGATAAATTAACCGGTTATTGCAATAACCGGTTAACCTAATGTTTAAAAACCGGTTATTTTCGGTTGTTATTTTCATCAGGGTTAACCTAATAACCGGATTCACTTACCAATAACCGATATTCGGTTATTCGGTTGATATATATTTTTTTTTAAACCATTTGACTTATCTGTCCCCACTTATAGCATGATTTCAAACCATTCGAACGCAAGAACTCCCAAAAAATTCCCAATGGAATGCATCTTTTACTCGACCTTCATATTTATGATAAGATATGGCGCGATTACGCGACAAGAAAAACCAAAATCCAACGATGTAGAAACTTGAATTTTCCATGGTTATTTTTGCAAAATATAAAGAGAAAAGACATAAAAAGTGCCCTCCTCGATGCAAGGATGATACACACCTACACAGGATTGCTTATCGGCCTCATTTTTGGTAATCGTCGCCATATTGGTGTGTAACCACTTCCGGCGTCATAACCAAAAATCTGCCAAAAAAATGTAGCCATGAAAGACAGATGCCACAAAGGGGAATGTTGTTTTTTTCTGTTGCTCGCTGTCATATGACGTTTTCGAAAGTTTTGTCATATTTCCCTTCACAGGTTTCATCAATTGGAATACGTGTTGGAAGCAATTTTCGCCATTTAACATAATGAGTGCGACAAAAACAGGTATCCCCTCCGCAGCAGCCGCACTAGGCTTAACGTTCGTCCTTATGTGTTAGCATTCCAGTTTTTGGTTATAGTTCATTGGTCATAACTAAGTCGTCAGCTGTTTAGACAGCCTACGTCAAGGCGAGAAATAACATGCTGCTTACGTCACAAATGGTGATTTGGCGATGGTGGAAAGGGAGGGGAATTGTTCCATACAGGCCTTATGAAAATAGGCTATTCTGTAGTAGTAGTGTGTATCATCCTTGTCCTCGATGGACATAGTTGGTTTGCGAGTTTGCGCATTTTTCATTTTCGCTGTTCAATTGTGTAAAATAGAAAGAGATAGTAGTAGTAGTGGAGAGAGAGAGAAAATATAATCGGTTATTGTGATAACCGGTTATTTACTAAAGGTTAATCGTGTAAGGTTATTTTTCTTACAAAAATAAACCGGTTAACTGATATACGGTTATTTTCCGCCCATGTCTAGTTTTTAACCTAGAATATGTCATTGCCTGTTTATTTACTGTCAAAATTTTGTTAGCAAGTTATCATAAGCTGTTCATAGAGGGCAGCACTTTTAAGAGGGCGTTCAAAAAAAATAATTGGGAGCATAGATTTTAAACAATTTTTCTATTTTCTACCCACAGTAGTAAAAAAAATTCTATATATTCCTCGGTAGAGAAAGTCATTATATACCTCGGTATATAATGACCAACTTCTCTACCTAGGTATATAAAATACTATTTTTTACTAATAACCTGAGAAGTAGTCATTATTCCATCAATTTTTCTGGAAAAAAATTGAATTTCTCTCCCTAGATTAATATTGAAAATAATTAAAAAATACCTAGGTCAATAATGAAAATGACGTCATGACGCAAGGATATTGTCATAACGTAACAGGTTTCTATTGGTTTAATTTCAGTGTCAAACTGTCATATTTCATATAGGGACAGTATTGCTATCTTGGGATCGGTTAAAGTTACGGAGGGCGTTTAAATTAGAAAAAAGTTGCCATTTTTGAAGAATATTGAAAATATATTTTCGTTGTTGCCAAATTTCAATTACTTTCGTAGATACAGGGTGATTTTTCAATTTTGCAAAAACAATTTTAATAAATATTTTGAAATCTATTGATTATAGTGACATAGTTCAAATTCAAAAGTATTATATTTTTAACATTCTTCAAAAATGGAAACTTTTTTCTAATTTAAACACCCTCGTAACTTCAACTGTTCCCAAGATAGCAATCAATGCTGTCCCTATGAAATAGTTGGGACCCTGTATAATGTACTATTTCACAATCACACAGAAGCGAATTTATTAACATATTTACTAAAAAGAGGAATTTATTATTAATAAAATATTTATTTTCATAATTTATTATTGAAATAATCTTGACACAATGGCAGCAAACAGTGTTGCCGCGAAACAAACCAATTTTTTAATGAAGTCTGGCAGTGATTTGTACTAAATATCCTAAAAATGTACTAAATATCTAAACAATTTTAAGCATTTATGCTGGTGACGTGTAACTGTAACGAAAAATCTAGGCTATGGTCCGAATACAACCAAACGTTAATTAAGGTAACCGACCGAATCGGTTTACAGATGGTTACTTAAAGTAAAAAAATAAAAGAATTTCGCGGTTATGAGTACTAGGCTTTAACACGTTGAGTGCCACGTGTATCCAACATGGATACAAACGGCACAATGTTTCAAGGGCCACATGTATCCACTGCTAGGGTTGCCAACTTTGTTTTTTCATTTTTCTGGGCAAGGGTAATAAAATATCAGGACATACGGTATAAATTCTGGACATTTTTTTATTGCAGAGAATAATACCATTCACAAACTTAAATAAACAATTCAACAAAAAAAAAACATACTGATACACTAAAAAAAACTGCCCAACCAAAATTCTTTGGGTAAATAGGAACTAATAAATTAAAATTTTATTCTGAAATTATGCAGATTAACAAATCATTTGAAGAATATAAAAAGTGAAGTAAAGGTACTTACAAAAGTCTGTTCGCACAGAAATCACAAACCAGTCAGAGTGAATTTCATTGGTTTAAACTAGATTTCTGACTGTTTTGAACCAATGTAATTCGCTCTAATTGGTTTATGATTACTGTGCGAACAGACCTATAGATACAGTCTCTAAAATTATTTTCTTTTTTATTTTTCCTTTTTTGCAGCTACTATTAACTTCTTGTTAGGTCAGTTCTCACAGGAGTCTTTGACATTTGGCAACCTGTCAGGAACAATCGCTCAGCTTAGTTATGGCTTAGTTACCAATTTATATTGGAACGAAGGCATTGAAAACATGTATATGCGATGCTTACTGACAGTTTGCAAACTGTTAGAACAGAGTAGTCGAACAGACCTGTTCCCTCTAACAAAATCATGAAATTCTTTGGAAGAATAAGAATAATTAATCTTTATTTGCAGTTCTGCCTTGATGTGTTCAATACACAATAGAAAATACAAGCTGCAAAATGATGCAGAAACTCAGTATTAGTCAAAAATGATAAATTTCATTTTCAAGTAATGTATGATTTTCCTTATAAACCAGAACCAGGTTTACAGCCGGCCTAATTGGACAGAGCTCACCATTAAGTTAAAAATTAAGTACAATAAGGCGTCCTGCAATAGGTTGTTACAGGACGCTGGACAATGAACCCCAAATGGTGGACGTCCACCGAAATGCAGGACGGTTGGCAACTCTATCCACTGCGGATACAAAATGATGTTTTTTATTTATGGCCGTGTGTATCCCCGTTAGATGCAAGCTTTGCACGTATTGTTATGGGAGCTTTTAAATAGAGGCCTGGGGTACCCCAAAAACGGTTTGGCCTGCGGATTTTATTACTTCTGTTTTTTTACAGGGAGATTTATGAATAAGAACATATAAAAATTGGTTATTAACGTGGCCATAGGACCCTAATTTTTTGTTACCATTGTGGCACTCAACGTGTTAAACCAACAGAACCGACATTTGATAGCCGGGAACTATTTTTGATTATTTTGACATTTGGTTAACTAGATTTCAGGAAACCAAGGTTCAAAAGTAACCACTTTTCCAGGAACCAGAGTAATTTGATTAAGTACTTTCGGACCGCGAAACCACAACCCTGGTTATATTCGGACCACAGCACTATGTAATTTCTGAGTTGTGACATATAAATACCAGTGTTTTCGCATTCTGCATCTTTTTCTTAAAGCATATAAATAAAATGTAAGGACAGAGATAGGTACATTTTTTTTTTGCACTGATTCTGCAAATGGAAATCGCTATTAGTGATTTGTAATTTCCTCTAATTTGTACTGAAATTATCGATGGTGTACTGATGTACTAAATTACACTGGAGTGTACTGAATCTGGTTCAAAGTACTAAAAACGGCATCACTGGCGGCAAACGAAAATTTCCATATTGTATCAAATTTAGGCAACCAACAATACACGGTTACCATGACAACCCGCCAATCCTTTTGTTTACTTACGAAATGTCAAAAGCCCAAAGTTCGAGGTTATGTTTTCCAACCTTGTGTCAAAACACCACACACACACACAAGATTTTTATTTTTGTGTGTTCCCCAAAGCGAATATGCGCAAATGATACTGAATTTTCGATCACACAACACAACAACAGAGAAACAAAAAAGTAAAATTCATCAAGCAGTTTAATGTTTGTTTGCTTTATTATTTTTGATTTTTGTGCCATTTATGTGAGTCCAAAATGAAACAAAAATCGTCGACAATCAAAAAATATGGGTTTTGATTTGAACAAGAAAAGGGTAAGTTGTACCTTGACCTGCCCTAGTTTTGCTCATCTGCATTAAAAAGAAATAAAACAACAAATTTGTTTACGACATCATAATAATTATATTCCGATAATTAAAAATTACTGAACGTGTCAAATGTTCCGTTTTTATATCGGGTCACCAGAGTTTCAGTCCGGTTTTTGGTTTTTAGGCACGTTAAATTAACATTTAACAAAGGTCTTTGTTATCTCTCGGTTTACACTTTAATTGCTGCTATTTTTCCTTACAGAGCAGTGTATTTTTGTATTTTGAATGCCTACTTGATTTAATTTATTTTGCTTTTTGTTAAATGTTTTTGATTCCTACGATTGTGTAAGTATTTTAGAAATGTATTTAGTTTGAAGGAAAAGGAAAAGTTAAACAAGTTTTAGAATGATTCTAGATTTACTTAGGTACTTTTTTTTCTTTTTGTTCATTTCCATATTTAGGTACCTATGTGCTTTTAAATTAGAAATTTTTCTTTCTTTGTTAATGTAGTTTGTTCTCTTTTATTTTATTTGTCTTCTTGTAATTTGGAGCTTGTACCTGAGGGGTTTTTCACCTACCAAAATTTGTACACCGATTTCTATTTTTCTTAACATTTCATAGTATTTCCATGTATTTGGAATATTTCTAAGAAGTATTTCCAAATATTCCCTAGTATTTCATGTAGGTAACAGGATTTTTTAGTCATTCACAAAAGTCTGCTTACATACCAATCTTCATCAAAATAGATGGCATGGCATAGTATTTAAAAAAAAGTTCTCAAAATCAAAACACGATCATGAATTAGAGGAGCTATAACTTTTCAATGTAAGGAATTCTTTTGTGAGGAATTTTAATGCTTTTACAAGATTTAATCAAAGATCCGCTAGAAACTCTAGAGAAAACTGTTTTTCTGGATTTTGACTTTTTGTGGTTTCTTATCCCTTAAACTCTATAAATGCGGTCAGTAGAAAGTCTGCTATTATAAGCATTAAAAAACCAACATAATGTAGACTTTCTTACCAATATACTTCGACCATCATTTAATTCAATCGGTAATACAAGATTCTTTATTATCCTTATTACTGCTTTTTGACCTCTTTTTTGAATAATCCGAAGTTCTCACAATCAAATAAAACAAACTGGCACTGTAAAAATTCAAAAAAAGCACCTATGTAATTTATGAGAAGAAGAAGTGCTCAGGAAGCTCAGAAACAAACTGTTTTCTTACATCATTCCGAGCATCATTCGGCACATATTACCAAGTATTTCAAAGTATTTCTAGGTATTCCTCAAAGTATTCCCAAGTATTACCAAGTATTTCTAAGAATTTCTAGGTATTCCCAAAGTATTTCTAGATACTTCCAAGTATTTCTAGCTATTTCCAAGTATTCCCAAGAATTTGTACACTGTTTTCCTTGGGTGAAAAGCCCCTTGGTTGTACCTATGCATCATTTTACTTTAGGTAGGTATATAGGTAGTTTTTCTATGAATATTTTTTCTTTTAAATGTAATTTCCAAAGCTTTGTTGAAAACCACATTGAAAACATTTGATTTCATACCTACATAACAATAAAGCTTCATTTGATTTTATTTTACTTTTACAATGGATATTTATTTGCTGAGTTTATTTTAGACTACAAGTTCTCAGGTTGAAAATATTGCTAATGCAATGATTGTGAGTAAGTATCTTAGTTAGCTCAGTTCTAACTTCAGCCAGATTGATTGGATAAGAGATTTATCTGTTTTTGAACCAATTGATAGAATTGATCAGCAATTTTGCAATTGGTCCTACAAAATCTTATTCCCAGTCTCTTATTTAGTTTTGGAACAGTAACTATGAGTCAGACTCGGTAGTTACCGAGGGGTGGTTAACTCCTTAAAATATGTACATTGATTTTGTAGGATTTTGAGAATTATGAAAATCTTCACATGTTTTTACAGGATTTTAAAAGATTTTTAAAGATTTTAAAGATTTTCAGGGATTTTAAGTAGATCTTACGACAGGATTTTAAAAGATTTTAGATTTTAGGGAATTTAAAAAGGGTTTTTTTGGCGTTTTTACCAACTAATTTAGGGGAGCCTTAACGATGAGTATTTTTTAAACTGACATTTCTCCATAGAAGTCTGTCATTTTAAGGAAAACTTATTGTTGAAGCTCGTATAAAATAGTTCGTGGAAACGGCCTAATGGATTTTTAGAAATTTTAACGGATTTTTGAATATTCCAAAAGACATTTGGAAATTTGGAAGGAACTTTCTTTGAGGAATACATATATTAATGATTTTATAAGATTTTATCGGATTTTTTTTGTTCTAATAAAATTTTGTGTGATTTTGTGAAATTTGATGCAATTTCAAGTGATTTTAAAGGGATTTTGTGAAGTTTTGTTAAATTTTTAAAGATTTTCAGGGATTTTAAGTATGTACTATGTACAAGTTTTTCTGGACTTGTACACATATTTTGACCAATCAACCGCTCCGAGGTTTAGTTAACTCTATAAAAAAATAAACACATATTTTTAATCCTAATTGATTTTGTAGGATTTTGGGAATTTTGAAAATCTTTACACGATTTTAGGAATTTAGAAGATTTTAGATTTTCAAAATTCTAGGTGATTCTGGAGCATTTTAGGGGTTTTTGAAAAGTTTTTAGAAATCCCAAATTCAAATGACAAATTTGAATGGAAAAACGAAAATTCCTAGATATTTAACTATAGGATTTCATAATACTTTTCCAAATGTCATCATATGATTCTATGGAATTCCACCATAAAATTTGATGGAATTCTTGGACAAAAATTCCTTGGAATTACACTATTTAGGAGATTTTATGAAATTCTTCAGCATTCCACTAAAATTTCAAGTTATTTCATGGGAATTTTACGAAAATTTTTGTTAATTCCATAGAAATTCCGTAGAATTTCACTAGAAGATTTTATGGAATACCTTGAAATTCCATTCAAATGACAAATTTGAATAGAAAATACTTTTCCGAATTACACCAAGATTCCATAGAATTCCACATTAAAATTCAATGGAATTCTTGTACAAAAATTCCTCGGAATTACAGTAAAAGATATCATGAAATTTCTCGGAATTCCACTAAAATTTTATGTAATTCAACAGAAATTACTCAGAATTTCACTAAAATTTAATTAAATTCTTCGAAATTCTGTCGAAATTTCTCGTAGTTCAATGGAAATTCCACGGAAATTCTGTTTAATTTCAAGGGAATTCTTCGGATTTCATGTAATTTTACTGGAATTCCACAATAAAGTTTCAAGGAATTCCATGTATGTAATTCGACGAGAATTCCTTGGAATTTTCCTCGACATTTCATCGAAATTTTATGTAAGTCGACACAAAATGAAATTATATGCATATAATTTGATGAAAATTATTCTGCGAATATTTCAGTTTTTTTTTTTTTTTTTTCAAAATTCCACTGAAATTCTCCAAAATTCTATAAAAATTCCAAATTTTATAATTTTTTTAAAACTGAAACTTCCTAAAACTTCACCACTGCTATATCCTGGAATTCCACAAAATTTTCATAAAATTTTTCGGAATTTCACTGACATTTCCTATAATTTCTTAGAAATTCCTCAGAATTCACTAAAGTTTTATGAGGATTTTTTGAAATTTCACTGAATTCCACGTTATTAGTCGAATGTTTCTCAAAATTCCAATGAAACTTCAAATTTTTTTTCAAAATTTCATTTATTTCCATAAGAATTTTTCAGAATTTCACCGAAATTCTCTATCATTAGCCAGGAATTTCTGGGAATATTGATGAAACTTCAAATAATTTCTTGAAAATTGACCGAAATTCCTCCGAAATATATTGAAATTTCATATCATTACATGGGAATTTTTCCATTCACCGAAATTGTAAGTTTGTAGCCGGATATTCCACTTGTTAAATTTTCTCTAATTTTACTAAAATTCAGTAATTCGATAGGAATTTTTGGAATATCAATTTCATTAAAATGCCTTGTTTTGAACTGGGAATAAAAATAAAACTTCATGTAATTAATTACATTAGGACTTTTTGGAATTTCATTGGAATTCCTAATGAAACGATAAGAGTTGTTTAAAATTCCACTTAAATTTCATGTAATTCCCTGACAATTCCTTGGAATTTCATGCAATTGCATTGGAGCTCCATATGTAATTCGACGTAATACGTAATAATTCGAATGTAGAACTTTTTATAAATTCTTTATGTAATTTTTGGGAATTTCGGTGTAATTCCATGTAATTGTTTAGAATTCCTCCATGCAACTCATTCAGGATTTCATGAAATTCGATCGAAATTCTACTGAAATTTCATGTAATTCGAGAGGAACTACTAAAATTAAATGTGAATTCTATGAAAACTTCGCAAAAATTTCACATAAAATTCCTTTTTCAGAATAACATAATTCTACAGAAATTCCTCGAAATTCCACTGAATTATGGAATTCTGAGACTTAACAGATTTTTGGGAATTTCAAGGAAAATATTTTTTAGGAATGTTAATGATTTTATGAGATTTTGCAGGATTTTTTTGATTTTAATGCAATTTTGTTAGATTTTGTGCAATTTCAAGAGATTTTGTGGGATTTTGTTAAATTTTTAAGGATTTCAAAGATTTTTAGGGATTTTGAGTAGATTTTATGAGATTTTCTGGGATTTTGACCAACTTGTACACAGATTTTGACCAGTTAACCACCCCTCGGTAAGAAGGTTTTGATGATTTAGATTTTGGAAAACTTTGGAAGGTCATAACTTTTTTCTATTAAAGATATAAAGCTGAAATTTTCAGCGATTCCTATCCTAGTAGAGGATTACAATTCCTGAAAATTTCAGCTCATTTTAACTTATAGTTCCAGAAATAAAATCGTGTTAAGCAATTTGGGGTGTTTTATCATTTTTTCAATTTTTCTGAGTGCCTTTTTTCATAGGATCCGGTTTCGAATCTCAGAACAATTTAGTGTATGGAATTTGGGGAATCCAAAAGGACCATTAGAACACAAAATCTCAAAAAAAAAAAAAATTGAAATTTCATCATTTCAGTAGGTACCTCGGTAGGTACTAAGGCGAGTACTAAGGTGATGATGTAGATTTTTGAAAACTTTAGAAAATCAAGACCCAGGAATATTCAAAATAGTATTCTAATAATCACAGTTGAATAAGAGCCAGAAAGATTGAAAAATTGCATTTCAAAACAAATTGAAAGTCTGAAAAATTGAATTTTGAAAATTTGAATTTCAAAGTTAATCAAAAGCCGGGAATATTCAAAAATTCCATTTTTAGCGCCAAAACAACCCAATCGAGAGCCGGGAATATTCCACAATTGAATTCAACAGCCAATCAAGCTCCGAGAATATTCAAAAATTGAATTTTGTAGCAAATCAAAAGCCAGGATTCTTTTCTGCTAATAAAATTAATAGAAAGATCTGAATTGGTTGTTACTGTTGTTGTTATTGGTTTTCCAAAAAATTTACTCAAAAAATATTTCAGCTTTCGAAGACGGGAATACAGTCTAATGAAATAAGTCCTTGCTGTATATAAATTTGTGAAAAATCCATGTAAAAATCTTCAATTTTGCTCTTCAAATTTAAGTTTATGAAGAAATCCAAAGAGGTTGTTGTACTTCCAAAAAAAAACTGTTGTTGGTCTTCTAAAACCGATTTCTCAAAATTTCAAGGATAGGGACAGTGAGGACAAGTGAGTCCTTGATGTCCATTGAATTGTGAAAAATCCATGAAGTTAAGATTGTTGATATCAGATGCAATCCTGCAGAATTCGCTTTTCAAGCAAATCAAAAATAGGTAGATCTCCTAATTGCTTTGTATGACTATTATTGCTCCAATGTAGGTTATTTTATTGGTAAACGCAAACTTTTATAGATTTAAGATTAGGTTGGATAGATTTTAATTGAAAAGAAATCAAAAATCATGAAAAATGTTGTTGAAATGCAATGTTACACATCTCATTTAGGATTTAGGTACAGTCTTAGAGGCTGTGAGAAAGATACAATTTTTATGTATTTGTTCAATATGTGGCTGACAACTCAATAGATAGGGGAAAATATGTTGAATAATCAAATTCCCCAATAACTGTATTATAGAGGTATATTTTGGATAAGTTCAGTGGCCTGATGTCTAAAGTCGTTATTATCTTGAAAAATTACCATTTAACTATTTAGCATATAAAAGTAGTTTTCTTGGGCAATAAAATTTAATATTATCGTAAAACACGTTTTAATTCACTTGAGTATCAGTCAGGTTGGAAGTTAATAAAGAAAGGCAGTTTCTATGAGGTTTTATTTATTCTATCTTCCATTATTAAAAGCAATAATTTCTCTTTGTTATCAAATGTGTCATACATAATCAATAACATTTATTTAATATTATTATGAACTTATTTGAGGTCTACATTTCAGCTTACAGATGTTAAAAAATGCTGAAATTATTATACAATTAAAAATGATTGCACAATAATTATTGCATTAAGTATAACATGAAATCAAAAATGTAAACTTTCGTTTTTTTTTTACCATTGATGTTTCATTTGTATTTTATTACACCTTGTTAAAATTGTTACATATTATGTATCTAAATCCAGTCAGTGCTTGTTGAAATAAAATAATGCAGTAGATATTTTAAGGCAAGTACCTACTTATCATCATTTTAACTTCTGGTAAACTTTGATAAAACCAATGTTTGTTTTTTTGAGATTAAAATAAGTAATACTTATATGTTTTGATAAAAATTTGAAACATTATATGTAGACAATTATTATCTTTTAATTTTCAAGTAATAATCAAATAATTTGGAACTGTCCCACACTGATAAGCCATAACGCAATACAGATTTCTGGTAGAATCTCTTTTAGTTGATAGAACCGATCTACACGTTTTCCTAAATACACAAGCATTATAATTATCTGACAAGAAAAAATATATTATTATTTAAACAAACAAATTATTATGACACCCCGATTACTAGAACAATAATTGGGTTATCGTTTTGTTATTGCACTTCCTGGCTTGTTATTAAACTTTTGCTTGTCAAATGTTTATATTAAAACTATAAACTGTGTACCTAATCCTTGGGTAAGTAGTTAAAATTTTAACATCACAAATATTTGGCAAGAAAAATCAGTCCGTATAAGATAAATATTTATACCTTGTACCTATTGCAGGCTTATTTGAAATTAGGTCTAATAGAAATACTCTTTTTCAGACAATGGCATCTCTAAGGCAAAGATTCTCAACAGAAACTTCAAATTATCGCAAGTACATTCACAAAGATGACGAAGATAACTCGAAATTTCAAAAGCCCTTGCCCGCTAGTCATTTCATGCTCATTCTGGGCCTAATGCTGCTCACCTTCTCACTAGTCATAATCATAGAAAAACAGTTACCAAAAGGCCTGACTCTGGCAGAAGAAAAAGACTATCCGGATAAGTTTATAGCGGAAAGAGCGTTTAATATATTGCAAAACTTAACGAGAATCGGTCCTAGGACGGCTGGCAGCTACGAAAACGAAGTTTTGGCAGTTAGAATAATCACAAGCGAAATAGATAGTATAATAAAGGAAGCACATTCTAATCACATTGTCCAAGTAGATGTACAAAAAGCTTCGGGGGCTTTTAACTTAGCATTTCTAGATGGCATGACGAATGTTTATCAAGACGTCCAAAATATTGTAGTAAAATTAGGCTCAAAAATTGATTCCTCCCATAGTTTGTTAATTAATTGTCATTTTGATTCAGTTTTAGATAGTCCAGGTAAGAATATTTTTAATTGTCTTTATGGAAATATTTAAATTTTCTTTCAGGTGCTAGTGATGATGGTGCCGGTTGCGCAGTAATGCTAGAAATATTACGGGTATTAATACACTCTGACAAAATACTAAGACACAATATAATATTTTTATTTAATGGAGGCGAAGAGAATTTCATGCCCGCATCCCATGGGTTTATTACGCAACATAAATGGGCAAAAGAGGTAATAGTTAGTTTTGTTTTGTTTCTACTAAATCTTTTTGTATACTAGGTGAGAGCGTTTATAAATCTGGAAGCGTGCGGCGCCGGAGGCAGAGAAGTACTGTTTCAAGCCGGCCCAAATCATCCCTGGATACTGGAAACGTATTCCGAAGAAGTGCCTTACCCTTACGCATCTTCCCTTGCCCAAGAAATTTTCCAAAGCGGCGTAATTCCTGGCGATACAGATTACAGGATTTTTAGGGATTTTGGAAATGTATCAGGCATGTTCTAGACATCAATATAAGTTTTATAATCCAATGAAAATATTTCAGGATTGGATTTTGCTTGGTCGTCCAACGGTTATGTTTACCATACGAAATTCGACAATATAGAGCAAGTGCCTCTGGGTTCTCTACAACGCACCGGTGATAATATTTTGGCTTTGGCAAAGGGCATGGCCCAAGGACACCAGCTGTCCAATGTAGAAAACTATAGAGCAGGCAATTTGGTGTTTTTCGATTTTTTGGGTGCCTTCGTTATAAGATGGCCGATGGCTGTAGCTGATTTTGTAAACTTTTTGTCTGTGATAGGTTCCTTTTATTGCATTTTTTGGAATTTAAAGGAGGCCAAAAAGTATGATGGTGAGTCTTCATTTTTTATATTTAATGTATTATGTTGATAAAATCCAACTTTGCAGATGTTAGTGGTAAATCCTACCTCACCAAACTCTATCAGTGCATGTTGATTATAGTGAGCTCCTGGTTGTTTTGCTTGGTGTTCTCTTTAGGCACTGCCGCTTGTTTAGTCGGTCTTGGTCGTACAATGAGCTGGTATGCGAGGCCCTTTTGGGCATTTTTCTTATATGTGATACCTGCGCTTGTGATTTCCTTGGTTACGATTTTAATTCATGCCAAATATTATAATAAGGTAACACGTACAAAGCTATTTAATGGACAATTTTTATATGCAATTATTGTTCTTTAGGATTTAGAATTATCGCCTTGGACAGTATTTCAATTGTACTACGACGCATATCAGGCACTTTGGACGATTGTCCTATTCATAGGAATATTATTAAGGATAAGGTCTAGTTTTATAGCGCTTACTTGGGTAGTTTTTGCATCGTTAGGCAATATTTTGAAATCCAAATTGTTTGGTAGATGGAGAGGTAACAATCAAGCAACTTATATTATAACAACAAATTATTAAACAATTTTTAGATTCTAAATGGTTGTTTTTGCACATATTTTTGATAGGATTACCGTTTGTGCAAAATTTTTACCTTATAATTGGTGCTTTATATTTATTCATTCCAGTATTGGGACGAGCTGGATCTGGTAAGGCCCTCAACTGATTTATTCTAGAATTAAAACCAAAATTAATTTTCAGGTAGCCATGCTGAATACCTGGTAGCTGTTTTAATGAGTTCATTATTCACAACTCTATTCAGCTTTGCTGTTCCACTTATACTTTTGGTAAAACAAGTTTACAAAATTTTGAATTTATTGGTTGCCTTATTTTTAATATCTTTGGCTGTTTTATTGTTAACTCCTATGGGGTTTCCTTATTCTGGCGGTCCAGGGATAATAGCACCACAAAGATTTATGATAGCTGTAAGTAATTATTACATATTTATTTTAATTGAATTTTCCCTTTAATCATCCTAATTAATAGCACACACAACGTATATTTCACGATTCAAGTGGTGCAATAATAAATAAATCCAATGGGTATTGGATGGTGGATATGGACATAAACAGCCCTCACACTGTTGATTACCATGTACCGATAATGAAAACAGCCGAATTAATAGAAAAAGACTGCGAAAAGTATTTGTATTGTGGACTACCATATTTGGTGCCTGTTTTGACCATGATTTGGAAGACGCATTGGGTTCCTGGTCCTGAACCGCGTCTTCTAAAACCTGTCAACATGACTATAATTGAGCGGACTAAAACAGAGGGCAGTCAGAGACTTAGTTTTGAAATTAATGGTACTTAATTATCAAGAATTAATTTAATTTTTTTACAAATTATTACTCTTAGGGCCAGCACATCTTGGAGTTATGATATCTCCCTTTGAAGGTGTAGAAATCAATAGTTGGAGCATACCAACGCCAGAACCATTGGCCGGGCCAATGTGGAATGGACGAAACACTTACTTTATTTATTACGCACATGGATTGGATTCGGTACCTTTTAAATTTTGGATTGATTTTAAGGTAACTATTAATTCTTTGTATATACCAAATTAAACAAAAACTATCCTAGGTTCCTTTGCATCATACTGGACCAATCATAGACTTTGCGGTCACTTCTCACTACTTATTTGGTGAAGGTAAAGCTTCGAAACCACTAAAAGACATGGTGGGTCAGTTTCCCAGCTGGACGGCTGTTTCCTATTGGACCGCTTCTTACGAATCTTGGATTCTGTGATCCTTTTGGCCAAAATAAGTTTTTTTTTTGTTGTTGTGATAAATGACTTATCAATTTGCACAAGTCAATTTCGGGTTAGTAAGTAATAATTTCCATTTTGAAAACAAAAAATTCCAATATTTTTTGATATTGTCGGGCTTCGTTTGAGGAAGCCCTTGTTGAGTGTTCGAAGATTTTTATCCCTTTATTGTTAATTTTGTATTCAACTGTTGAATATTGTCAACGTAAGTGAAAAAGCTGTTGTATATTATTTTTTTTTTAATTATACATTTTTATTTGTCTATTTATTGTTTAGGTTTGGATTGATACATTCCTATATGTACTTTTTGGTTTGTTTATAGTATTTTTACTATACATTTCTGGTTTAATTATCACATAAGAATAGTTCAATTTTATTCCTAAACTTTACAAACGTTCGTTGCCAAAATCGCTTGAAATTCGATGCATAGCACGTAGGCTCGCCAAAATATCAGCTCAATTCTACAACATTTAGTAATCACTTGAAGTTCTACTGCCCTACTATAATAGTTTCTGAGTAATTTGTTATTATAAGGGTTCACCTGCCAAAAAAAATATATATATATTTATAATAAATTAGACCAGGAGATAGCATTGAAATGGACCCGAATTCCGAACCCACGATTCCATAGTATCGTCCATATAAATTACATAGAGGATAGTATCGGGCCCCTAATAATTTGTGTAAATTGCACCAACAACTGCGTAGTTCTCAACAGTATTTCGACTGTAAGGAAAATAACCCAGAAGCCATAAATATCTGGAAAAGAGCACTGCGATGTGTCCAGACATCTGAAAGAATTCTATCAGAGCTTGGACCCCTCACTGGTATATTCAGAATTATATCTCTTTTTTTGTGAATTAATGAAAAATACTTCCATACTGATATTCCTCCAAAAAAAAAACATTTCTAAAAAAATAATCGTTGAACGAATATTAAATTCTTCAAGTTCCATGGCATGTTCACTGATAAGCAGTTTGGATAATGGGAAAGAAGCTCAATTTTGGAATACCTGAATCTGTCATAGAGAGTATATTAGATCCAGTTAGAAATTTCTGGGTGGTAGATCATTCAAATAAATGAGGGAAAGCAGGGAACCAAGTACCAAGCTTTGAGGGACGCCCACACTAATACTAAGTTCCCTAAAGGTTCCGCCATTAAATTTAACAGTAGTTCAGTCATTCAACGGCGTTTTCAAGAAAAAAAATGTAGAAGTTTCTTTCTCAGCGGTTCTGTATGTTTTTTGAGGTGCTGAATCCAAATCTGAGGTGAAAAACCATACATTTTTGGCACTTTTTTTAGGTTTTCAACTGTAACTCGAAAACTAAGCGTTTTATAATTATAACTATGGCTACGTTCACCAGAACTGAAACAAGTTGTAAACAGTTCACAAATACCAACAGAATATGTTGGGCAAACTCTTGGTTCTGCTGAACGATTCAACTTTTCAATAATAGAACGTCACCCTCTGAATGTCATGTCACCACACAAAACACTAGTGTTGAAAATTATAAACACTTTTAATTTATGCTTGCAAAAATGGCGACCGTTTGCAAAACATGTTTGGTTTCAACACAAATTCAACGTAGCGTTCAGCAGAACAATCGCAATGCGTTTACCAACGTTTGTATCTGGTGAACGTGGCCAATGATATAAAAAATTAAAGTAGACAGATTTCCTACAAGTAGGTATAATTACTCTAAAGTCTTGACAATTCACAACGTCGTTAGATTGTGTTGAAAAAATGGCATTCTGTGGTTTTGTGGCCTGTCAATGGGTCAAAAATGTTGACATTTCTGGTAAATTGAAGGTAGTGGATTATTGGAACTTTTCAACATTAGCTGGGTTCGGCTATTCAGCACGGAGTTGGAGTGGAGTGAACAGAGCTAATGGAGTCACTCCTAATACGGTAAGAAGCAATACCCGAACCTTAACCCGAACGGCTGGAGTGCGAATGGACTCACTTCGAGTGCAAGGAGTGAGCAAGCCGAACCCACCTCTTATTAAGGCTGCCGTTAACACCGAAAAATTGATGACAGGTCATGCCTATGCAAGGGCGGTTAAGGAACTTGCTTCGAAATTTGAAGACAAGCTTATCCAACTCACAGGCCTAGGGCCCACTATCAAGTTGTGGAGTCAGTACTTTCAAATAGTTACACTAATCCTATAAATTTCATATATGCAGAGAAAACTAGGAAATGGGCTCTACACTTGGAAACTATTCATGATATGCTTCCTTATTTCCATGCCAGTGGACAGTTTCTATATGGCGAAGTGCTGCCACCTGTATTTACAGGATATGTTGGAGCTACAATATTCTACTCCCCCTAATGAATTAAAAGCTTTTACTGTGCACAACGGGTTCATTATTTGGCGAAGCCATAGGTTTTGGTTGTGGAACATGGAGTAACATGTGCATAGAGCGAGAATAATGTTCTGGTAGGCTCACTAGGGGTCGTGGTACCAGCGATGCTATCCTGTCAAGTCGGACTTTGGGAATGACAACGCACAGAAAGATATTCGATGCAGCGGAATTGATTTTGAATCATCAGAGCAACATATTGATACCGGGACAAAATAGATGCAAAGAAAATTATAGAGTGGTTCCACCAACACCCGTCGTTTCCGGAGGCATATCACCATCGTTTACAGAGCAAATGTGCTCCGAAGCGCAGTTGGAGATCATGAGTTACTATACAGTAGAAATTAATTTCGAGTATTAAGTGTTGAAGGATAATACCAAAACCAATATAAAATAAATATAAACTGGTACTTTTGCATGCATTTTTTTGAGCACAGAAGTCATGGGGACTGAAAAAATAAACTGCCATCTTTCTAGGGAAGAAGATATCAAATGTATTGATAAAATGTTGGTAACAATTTCCATCAATCAGTTAAATTTAAGCGTAACGATAAGGTGTTATCACTTGCCACCATGAAATCTTCAATAATGATTCATGATCTGGAGTTGTTAATCCAACTACCCTATTTCAACACATGAATATTGTTAAAGAGTTAGATGATGAACTCGAAGAGTTCTTGACACACGAACTGAGCCCCTTTCCTTTTGCTCTATTTGATGGAAAAAAAGGTGGTCTAATGAGGAAAGGGACAAAATCTTCACTTTACAAGGCTTCACAAGCAGAACCTGACACATCTATATTGGACAACTATCCATGATACGCGGTTGACGGTGGTTTTCTCCTGCACAAAGTTGTGTGGCCTGAAAAGAAGACATTCGATAAAATTTGTGACGTTGAATATTTCAAAAAAAAATATTGCATACTTCTACAGAAATTTAGTGCAGCAGTGCAGCCCAAACTTACACTAAGCTAGTGAAGATGCAGACACTCTGATTGTGCAAACAGCCTAATCACTTGCTGCGGAGCACAAAACTTGTAGTTGTTGGAGAGGATTTAGACCTCCTGGTCATTATGATCAGAACCATGACGTCTCCCAATGTATATTTTTTGAAACCCAGGCAGAGGTAAAAATCTTCCATCTGTTTACCGTCCTCCAAGCACCATCGAGAAATGCCTGGCAGAACACATATATGCTGTCAGTTCACATCTGCTCTTTTTAAGCGAAGGCAAGCTAAGTTTATGAAAACCCTTATAAGGTTTCAGAAACCTTCTTGCTACATCAGAAGAAATTTCGAAAGCAGGGCAAAAATTTCTAGTGGCATTGTATGACGGAGACCATGGCACCACTTCAATAAATAAGCTGAAGCACAAACAGTATGTGTCATCAGCGGAAATGTAGCATTCCCTACTTAAGCTGCAGCCCAGAAACACAGTAACAGAGTATTTCACCAAGTACAGCAGTGGCTGGGAAATATTTAACCACCTGAGCAGTGGGTATGGCTTCCAGCCAGTGTAGGAGAAAAACTGCCTGAGTTCAGAACAGTCATCCCAGAAAAAAAGAAAGACAGCTTCGTTGAAGGAGCACAAGAACAAGCATTGCCTACATCTCAAGAACCAAAACCAGCAATCGCACCAGCTACTTTAGAACCATCAACTTTATCTGAAGCGCCTCTTGTAACTCTCCGTGCTGCCGCAGAGCCAGCAAAAGAAGAAAACCCAGTAGAAAAAACAATGGAAGGAAAGACTGCTGAATCAGAAGCTCTGCCTCAATCTGCTGCAGTACCTGAAGCAGCTAAACCTCTCGAAGAACCAAAATAAGAACAGAAATTGGAAGCTCAACCTGATAAGCCAGCAGCGAGCGCACCAACTTTCTGAATTAAGGAGAAACAAACTGAATCCAGTGTGAAGAAGAAGTTTTTTTTGTTGAGGTTAGCTTGCCGCCTTGTTCCAAACCTAAATTTAATTAATTTTTATTTTTTTTGATTGAACATTTGGGCTAACCGAACCTCCCCGTTTTCAATTTCTTTGGAAACACTAATTAATTATTAAAGGCAACTTAATTCCCATCACCCCATCCCCAGAGAAGCTTCTGAAACTCATTGCCTGTAAATGCCAGAAAGGCTGTAGGGGCAGTTGCGAATGAATTGTGAAGGAATAAGCTGCTCCAATATAGAAATACTCAATGATGATGACGATCAAGATGTTTCGCCTGAAAAGATCGAAAGTAATTTATACTATTACATACAAGAAATCATTATCCTAAGCTAGTATTTATCACTGAGTACGTTTATCTCGGAAAATCCGGATCCGATCGACTTGATCCCATCCAGTGAAATTGCGTTTCTATAAAATGAATTGTCCGATCGATAAATCCTTTTTTTCTATCGGATTCAAATAGAAAGAGACCGGCCGAATTAAACAAAGCAAAAACATCTTTTTTTTTTTTTTAATTAAATTTGTGGCGCACTCCCATGAGAGGGAAAAGGGGAATGCAGTTTCTGAATTTTACAATAAAAGTAGATCTATTTGAAGAAAATGAACCTATATTTTCAAAACTATTTCATAAGACTGAAAACACAATGATGACAAATGCAAGATACAAGTGACAGGAGACAAAAATATAATAACCCTTGTATCAATGCCATAACCCAGAATAAATGGATACAGGGCTGGGATCAAGACAAGTAGTATTCAACTTTCATGACGTCATCCCGCGACCTATATATTGCGTACAGTACAGGCGATGATGACGGTTGCTAGGCAACCTTACGTCATGAAAGTAGGATTCTAGTAGAGTCTTTTTGTCGTGATCCCAACCCAGGATACAATTTATTTACCATAGCAGGGCCCGGATCCCAAACCACGATTCGATAATATCGTCTATGTAATTTATATGGACGATACTATCGAATTGTGGGTTCGGGATCGTCCTGGATACAAAATTTCGATTTTTTCGTATTTTTTATTTGTCTTTTGTACTTTTTATTTGTCATTGTGTCTTTAGCCTAACAAAACAAGGCAAATCTATGGTCCGAATTTAACCCAAACGTTAACCAAACTAACCGAATGCAAATATGAAATAAAAAATAATTTACGGAAATTACAGATGAAACCAACAGAACCGACATACGATGGCCAATAACTATTTTGACATTTGGTTAACCAGATTTCAGGAAACCGAGGTCCAAAAGTAACCACTTTTCCAGGAACCATAGAGTAATGTGATTATTTTGGACCGCGAAACCACAACCTTGGTTATATTCGGACCATAGCCTATAACACTAAAAAAGTGAGGTTAGACGAGTTTGCCATTTTTCAGGTCAGCACAATCCTCATGCAGATTTTGACAAATTTTGTCCATAATGAACATAAACGACATGGATTCTATTATAGTCTCCATTCTACAGATGAGGAAGACAAATAAATATGGAAATTATTTAATTTTTTTTTGTGTAAATACTAATTTTTTCCATGTTACCAATTTTTTAATGTTTCTTTTTATTGAAACTTTGGCTAGAATAACGTTTTCCAACTTTTTTAGAGGAAAGTCAAGAAATGCTATTTTTCAACATGATCTAACCACATTGTGGATTGTCGAGCTCCTGATCCTTTGTCAGTTTTCGAACCGTCTGTGTACCATTTAATGGTGTTTTCTTTGAGAGATTCGGTGATCTTGCCGCTTTCCCAGTCGCTTTGATCATCAGTTCTTGTGAGGAAGTTTCTCTCAAAGTGATATTCTTTGGTTATATCGTCTTTAGGAAGATCGAATAAGGGAATACACCGTGTCTGGGATGACCATGCTCCTTGATCGATGATGTCCTTAGCCTCGGTCTTATTCTAGTCCTAGCTAGTCTAAATATAGCCCTTTCTGCAGCTCCCTTCACCGACAAGTGCAAAGGTGTGAGGTCAAGTATGACGTTCAACGCTGCTGTTGGACATGTTCTCATGGCTCCTGTAATACATGTACTTGCCAGGCTTCTAGGTGTTTTTTCCATAGAAGTTTACTATCCAGTTTTACGCCCAGATATTTGACTTCGTTTGCTTGATTTACAACCTCTCCACTTAGGTGAATTTCCCAAGTAAGTTGAATTTTCCTTCTAAGTGTAAATGGTGCAATAGTGGTTTTTGCTGAGTTGATGCTCAGCACCACCGATGTGCACCATTCTTTGGTAGTACTTAGGCCTTTTTGTATGAGGTCGTATAGTGTGCCCTCAGACTTGCCTTTGAGTTAGACCCTGATTTGTCACTCTGGACAGGAGTTCATCAACTACCAGGCTCCACAACAGGGGTGAGGTTACTCCCCCTTGAGGTGTACCACGAGTGGTTCTGATGCTTGTGGTTTGTTCACCCACAGTTGTCTCGTTCTCGTAGTCAGCATTTCACAGACCCACCGGACTATGGTTTTATTCACTCCTCTCCTCTCCAGAGCAATTTTTACCGCCCCATGGGACGTGTTATCAAAAGCCCCGGATATATCCAGGAAGGCACATATGGCTGTTTCTTTTTCCTTAAGGGTTTTTTTAGATGATTTCTGTAAGTTGATAGAGCGCTGTCTGTCGATCTGCCTGCTCTGTATACATGTTGGCACGAGTGTAGAGGTGCCTTCTCCAAAATGTCCTTTCTGATGTAGTTATCTACAGCTTTTTCTATCGTCTTTAGTACAAAGGACGTAAGACTAATGGGTCGACAAGATTTAGGGTTTGTCCCATCCTTTTTACCTATTTTGGATATGAAGGTTACTTTAGCTCGTCGCCAGATACTCGGTATATATCCAGAGGCTAAACTAGTCCTAGCTATTCTAAGTAGGTGAGGGAATATTTCCTTTTGCCCTTTTTGTAAAAGGGCAGGAAATATTCCGTCTACTCCTGGTGACTTAAACGGTTGAAAGGTACTTATTGCCCATTTCATCCGTTCCGCAGTAAAAACCCTCTTTGCAGCTTCCCAGTCCTCCTTCTTCGGTTTACCGTGGTTATTTCTACTGGTACGCTACCTGGAAAGTGCGTTTGAAGTAATAGGAAGGCCTGCTCCTCTTCTCCTTTCGTGTAGGTGCTGTCCGGCTTTTTGAGGGCCATCACTGGATTTGTTCCTCCTTTGGCCGTGGCCTTATGTAGCCTTGCAGCCGTTGGAGTGTAAGCAATTTCCTCACAAAAGGTTCTGAAATGTTGCCTTTTGGCTTTTCTTATCTCTTTGTTATACAGAGTAAGCACTTCTGCGTATCCCTGCCAATTTCCGTCTTTTTTTGCTGTATTGAAAAGATGATGGACTTGAAATCTCAGTTTTGACAGGTGTCTGTTTCACCATGGTGCATCTTTTTTGGATCACGCTGTAGTCACTGGGCAACTGGATTCAAAGGCTTCCATAATTGCCTTTGTGACTTCCTTAGTGTCCTGCACCAGGTCCATGTGGTGTCTTTTCCCACCTGAACTTAAGCAGTGAAGGTTGTTCTGTAAATTGGTTTTATAGGCTTCCCAATTGGTTTTTCCCGGAACCCTTCGTATGGGTCTATTGTATTTTACATTCCTTAGGTTCAACCCAATTATCCTGTGATCTGACAGGGATGGTTCGGTTGATACTCTCCAGTTTTTGATGAGGTCTCTAATACTGGAGCTGACTAAAGTTATATCTAATACTTCCGACTTTGTTCTAGTCACGAATGTAGGCATAGTACCAACATTCAAGACCTCAAGGTCGGTAGTCATAAGAAATTCAAGCAAACCCTCAGCTCTATAGTTGATATCCGTGCTTCCCCAGATAACATGACGTGCATTTGCGTCGCAGCCTAAGAGTAGTGGCAGGTGCTCTCTTCTGGAATATTGGATCAGCTCTTGTACCTCCAGCGGTGGTGTCGTTAGCCCATCTCCAGGAAAGTATGCTGAAGCAATTACTATGTTGCGGTTGCAGCCCCCAATGTCGAGTTGTACGAAAATGGGTGTCAAGTCCCGTGACATAAATTCTGTAACACACATATAATTAATTTCATTTCTTATGAGAATACAGGCTCTGGGTGATTCCTGCCTGTTATCGTATACTACCTTTGAAAGTTTGCTTGACAAACCTTTGATTTGCCCTCTATTGATCCAGGGTTCTTGGATCATAACTAGTCCCAGACTTGTAGGACATTTTGCTTAGTTTTCGAGTTATACTTAGTTAAAAACCTGAAAAAAGTGCGGAAAATTTAGAGTTTTTCGCAAATTTCGTTGTGAAGCCAACGCTTGGCGTCTTGGCAAACCTTAGATTCGTATTCCGCACCCCAAAAAACATACAGAACCAGTGAGAAAAAACTTTCTACATTTTCTTCCTGGAAAAAAACCCTGCATACTGAACTACAGTCTGAATGCGATCCGACAGGTAATAAGGCAGTTCCGCTGGAACAGTACAGCTTCTTTCTTTTCCTATCTCAGGGTATTGTTCTTGAATTTTCTTTCCTTGGAGAAATTTAGAAAGAAACATAAAATCAAGAGCATGAACTTGGAATAGACAAAAATTGAGAACAAAATTTCCTCGTTTTCATTCCAAGCTCTTCAATTTTCCTTTTTTGGAAGAAAACATGAAACCGATAGCCTGGAATAGACAGAAATTGATTTAGAGAATTTGAGAAAAGAATAAAAATTCACGAAAAATTCGAACAAAACAGACCCTGGGGAATAAACAAGAATTGAAATGATAAAAAGGAGAAATAAAGAGAGGAAATTATGTAGAAATTGAGAACAAAATTCTTTCTTTTCCTATTCCAGGGTCTTGTTCTTGAATTGTCTTTCTCTGGAGAAATTTAGAAGGAAACATAACATCAAGAGCAAGAACCTGGAAATAAACAAAAATTGAGAACAAAATTCCACCTTTTCTCATTCCAAGCTCTTGAAATTTTCTTTTTTGGAAGAAAACATGAAACCAAGAGCCTGAAATAGACAGAAATTGATTTGGAGAATTTGAGAAATGGAGATTAAAAGTTTAGGAAAAAATTCAAACAAATAGTGATGAGCGAGACTAGTCTTGGTCTTGGTCTTGGTCTTGCAGAAAAAGCATGACAAAGACCACTTATTAGACTGCAAGACCAAAACCAAGACCGAGCAGTGCAAGACTTATGCAAGACCAAGACCGAGTATGCAAGAGTCTTGCGTTTTTGTTCCATTTTTTCTGAAGAGTACTAAAATTTAGTATGTATTTGCTTCAGTTGTTTGTAGTTGAATACAGGGTGAATCCGAAAGTGAGGCTTTTTTTTTTTAACAGGATGTACGTATATCTCACCAAAATAAGTTGTTTGGCAGAAAATTGTTTATATAAAAAATTTAAGATAACGGAGGTACAGCTATTTTGAGATTAGAGGAGACTTCCACTATAAATTACTTTGTTTACATTTTCTCAAAAAAAAAGCCGCAAAAAAGCCATTAATAGTCCAGCATAATGAGTCTTATTCCATAATAGGTACTCACAGTTGCATTATTCCATCAGAAAAAAATTCATTTTCAACCTATCAATTTTCGTTTTAAAGTGAAACAGACAAAATTTAGGAGGGAAATGAAGCATCATACAAATGGAAATAATTTTGAACAATTTTTGTGATAATTTTGATCATATTTGTTCTACTAAATCTTAGATTATTGAAATTAGATTTTTAATGCACATAACCCTAAAATACCTGTACTTACCTCCGTTATCTTAAATTTTTTATGTAAACAAGTTTTTGCCAAACAACTTATTTTGGCGAGATACATATATACCCTGTTAAAAAAAAAACCTCACTTTCAGATTCACCCTGTATATCATATTCAACTATTATCATAGGCTCTGTTACTGGTATTGGGGCCTACTCTATCCTATAACTTTGGAGAATATAAAGACTTTCCACAAACACAATTATCAAACATATCTTAATTTCCAATGTAAATCGTATTGGTGTTTAAAAGCAAAAGATTTTTCTGTACAGGGTGTCCAAGATTCGATGGTTTTAGCAAATTTCGGGTACCACTTGCGAGCCTCGATTTTCAAGAGAAAGTTGACCGGTGAAACCCGCAACTCGATGTCTCGATTCGTTTTTAAGGTACAAGGGGAAAAGCTGACCAAATTTTCATAAATAAAAAAGTTATAGCCCCCCTGCCAAACTCCAAACTTTTCAATAACCCCTCGTAACATAAAAACGAATCGCCATATCGAGATGCGGTTTTCACCAGTCAATTTCTCTTGAAAATCGAGGCTCGCAAGAGGAACAGATTTTTTCCAACTCTTTCAGAAATACCCGAAACCCCCCAAAACCATCAAATCCTGGACACCCTGTACATGGAAGAAACTAAATATTTTGCATTATTTTTGCTTTTTGAATGTATGAAGTATTACTTCACTAGCGCACGCGAATGTGTGATGAAAAGTACAGTTACCGCAGGGCACGCGAGTAAGTGAAATTGTTAACACATTTTTCATTTGCTGAGAAATATATAAAACGAATGTGCACTTACCTCTTCATTGAGCAATAATAATTTTGGTTTATTTCGATTCCCAGCTAAGGTAACGGACCCCCAGTGACTTATCTAGATATAAATTAATGAAATTACATATAGTAAAATATTTCTAAAAATTTGTCACTATTAAAAGAATAGTTAGAATAATTGTAAATACCAGTGGCGCACCCAGGGGAGGGGCATCGGGCTGCTCTGCCCCCCCTAGGCCGCTATCTAAAATTGTATTTTTTCGTATAAAAAAATGTGGCAACATCAAGGCGTAACACCCTGACATCTCAATTTTTTGTTTAGATTTTTAGACACAATCCTCAACCTAAGTCCTCAATCTATATGTAGTGGCCCCCCAAAAATATTCTCTGGGTGCGCCACTGGTAAATACAAATAAGGATGTTTCAATATTACAGGGACAAAGTGGAACAAGTGATCCCTTAATTTCCAATGTTTTTTTGAGCATTTTTCACTTGAAAAAATTACCTGATTCAAGTACTTGTTAAAATTTGCTGCTGTGGTAGAGATACACAATATCGAAAAACCAAAATTTTGATACTGGCATATATTATCCCTTTCTTTAAACGTTTGCTTATTTCAAGTGGCATGAAATACGATTTTTTCTTCAAATTTTCTTTGTAAAAATTGCCTCCAGTAAAAATCTACCAAAAAAATGCAAGACTTGCAAGAGTCTTGCTGTAAGACCAAGACTGAACCCTGCAAGACCAAGACCAAGACCGCATATGCAAGACCAAGACTAGCCCGGTCTTGGTCTTGGTCTTGCATTTGCTCATCACTACAAACACAACAGACCCTGGAATAAACAAATATTGAAACGATAAAAAGGAGAAATAAAGAGAAGATTTTTAATAGAAATTCAGAACAAAATTCTTCCTTCTTCTGTCCCAGCCAAGGGTCTTACTCTAGAATTCTCTTTCTTTGGAGAAATTTAGAAGGAAACTGAATGAAGAGCCAGGAATTTAAAATAGACAAAAATTGAGAACAAAATTTCCCCTTTTTTCATACCAAGCTATTGAATTTTCCTTTTTGGAAAAAAACATCAATCCAAGAGCCGGGAATAGACACAAATTGATTCTTATCCTTTTGAGTGGTACCTAATCTATCCTGATAAATCGATATTCCCATGAAGAAACCAAGGAAAACAGCCTGCTAAAAATCAAGCATCTCATGGTCTACGAATTATTTTTTTTGGCAGTTTAACATCTTAGATTCTTAGCTGTAGATTTTCAAATTTTTCCAAACTCTTTTGGCTTGTAAACTAGGGTAGTTGTTCGACCAGATTTATGAAAATTCCTTGCATTAATACTGATCTTAGTCCCACTTAGTTGAAATAGTTTTAATTGCTGCATTTGCGCTAATTGACTTATTTATTTGATAGCCAGTTTTAATATTGTTATTTGAATACCATACACGTTTACTTAGGACTGAATAAAATTTTTTACTGATTAAAGCAAATGGGTTTTCTTTTACACACACTGTAGTAAAATTCCATTAGCACCTTAGTGAATGCTAATTTATTTCAGCAATTTTTACTAGTCTAAAATAAATCAGGTGACAACTTACCAATACTAATAGGACATGGTTGATTAACGGAAAGGCTCAAGGTGGCTCGATGAGACACAGCCGAAAATCAAATACATTCAGCTATGCCGACATCTTGCCTACTCTACCATCCAATATATCTGCACTTTCAATTAGCACTTATTGCAAGATGGAAACCTGTAAAGTAACTTTTACGTAAGATAGATCTAAACCTATTAGTATAACAGTTTTAAATTATTTTCTTGTACGTTTATTTTTGCTCGTCTTTGTCTGGTTAATTTGAAAAAAAATGCGGGTGTAACCCTAGATTGAATATCAGCAGGACACCTGATGAACTTAAGATCCATAGGGGTCTTATTGAAGAAGACAGCTTTTTTGAACAATGAGTTTTTGAATATTTGTTTAATTTCAAATGGGAAATTTTTTTAAAACTGACTGATATCTTTTTCAGCTACAATGAAACTGAGCTACTTGATGAGAGCTCACAGATGATGAAGATATTTTGAGAAAAATCACTGAAGAATGAAGAGAAAGTGAATTTAATCGAAAATGAAAAATGTTTCTTCAAAAATTGATTCAAGAAACACCAAGTGTGACAATGCAAACATACCTGATTTTCTTGTAGGTTTTGAAAATAGGTACCTAACTAAATCATCCTGAATATATTTGACTCAAGTAAGTGTGAATGACTTAACAAGTTGGGTACTAATTACCATATAATAAGCATGATTTGTAAAATTATTTAAATTCTATTGACTGAAAAATTAATAATGTTTTTATTGACTAAAGCTACCGTAATTGGTTTTGGACCATCATCATCATCCTGGGTAATTTTTGGATGAACTATTTAATCAATAAAAACATTATATAGTTAATAATAATAGAAAACTATATTACCAATAATTCTTCGTACAAATTCCTCAAATCCTATTTACACTAAACGAAAAAAAGGTAAGCAACCAGCTACTGTTGAAGCACGTTAAGTACTGAAGCCTCCGCCCCTCGTCGAGTTTACTTCACGACTTCAAACTACTGAATCACTTCCTCGGAAGCACGTGCTTAGCCTGCCTCTACCTGTACGCCTTAAAACATAATTCACGTATTGTTTGAAATTATCGTACCCCACCCACACATGACGAGATTATACATTATTATGAACTCTCTTTGCTTCTGTGTGGTGTGTGGTTTACTAGGTGATGAAAATTATGGTTAGCGGGATTTTTTTTTTCAGGTGACTAATGTGCTGATTAGGTAATAATTGAATTGCTTTTAAATGTTTTATCAGCACCCAAGCTTAATGTTTAAGGTACCACAAGATTTCATAGTACCTTTACATTTTCGGTATTTATTTGCATCTTTTATGATGCATATACACCGTATAACAAAGTGTTTATCTAACACACATTGTTGATTGTTGATTGTAGTTGGTAACCTTGTTAGATATCCATTACCTATAGCACACATATTTGCGAAATGTTACGAAATCTCGGCTTTATTACTAAATTGTATTGGTTGGTCTATAAAGGTAGCGCAATTTCCTGAAATTAAATTAATAATTATGGTTTAATTATGTATTTGAGCCCCTGGAGAAGAAACTAAAAAATCTCCCAGAGGATAATTACACTATAATATGAGTCAAATTGAACTAGATAAATCCTATTTCTGATCATATTCTAGAGTTGAGAGAATATTTTTGTCCTAAAAGGCATTTTTGAACCTCGTGAGCTGAAATTCATCAAAAAAAGCCTTATTATCTTGAAATTTCCTGCATTATCGACCTGAAACTTGGAAAGAAATGCTATTCCCGGTGCTGCTGGAACCAAAATTAAACCAAAAAAGCAGTGGTGGCTCGTGACTATTTCAAGTGAGGAGGCTAAAAGATTTTCAGTGATTTTGAGTAGATCTTACGAGTTTTTCTGGAATTTTGTTCAACTTGTATACAAATTTTCATCAATTAACCGCTCAAAGTTTAGTTAACTCCAAAAATCTAGACGACATTTCGTCTAGATAGACGAATACATGAGGTTCCAGATCTGCTCCTAGCACATTGTTGATTAACCGCTGCCAAGTGGCTGGTGCGTTATGGAGTCCAAACGGGAGGCGCCTAAACTGGTAACGACCCCTATTTGGCACGGTGAACGCTGTATAAGGTCTTGAGGATTCCGCAACAGGAACCTGCCAATAAGCAGACTTAATATCCAGGCTGCAGAGGTGCAGGGTGTCTCCGACTTGCGGCAGGAGCTAACTATCATACGCTCACGGACAGCATTGATTTTACGAAAATCCACACTTGTCTATAAGTTGTTACATAGCGGGTGACACCCTATAGTAGCGCTGATTTTTAGGTCTGGCCCTCATGACTATCACATACTCGGGTCTGTCAGTGCATCCCAACTTATCATCCATAAGTACGAAGTTCCTATCCAAAAATTCCTTTAGCCGTTCTTCCTCCTCTGTATATCAAGGCAAAAACATATATTTTAGAAAAAAAATCAAAAAAACGAGAAAAAATAAAATAAACTGAACCCATTTAGGAGATATTTGGGATGCTTATTAGGACCGCCATGACAAAAAAGTTCAAAACAGTCTGTATTTTTATTATTTTTAAATTTCAAAGCATCCTAGTTGGAAAACGAAGAGCCTGGGAGAAAAACCTTAAATACAAAACTTGTAGATCTCATTGAGAACTACAAAAAAGCTTATCAGTTACTCCTCCACGGAGCACTGTTTTTGAGAAAATCGACTTCAAAACTATCAATACATTTTCAGAGAAAGTTCAACTTTGATGCCTTATATCTCAGAGACAGAAATAACTTGGAATATCAATAAAAAACAGTTTTGTAGGTAATTTATTGCTCTTTCAGAGGAAACCGAATCGGTTCGAAATTACTGAAGTTATAAGCGAAAAAGTAGCGCCGTGTCGGGTCCCCAAAATTTTCCAGGATCAAAATTTTTTATTTTTTTTTCGGGCTTACAAAGCGTCGGAGCGAAAAACACCAAGAGACATTTTCGACGTATTTTTGGCTCCTCTATCCGGTGGTATTTTTCATTTTTCAAAATTCGGCAAAATAAATGCAGGGCGTGTATGCACCATTACACGCCCTTTTCCAAAATTGGGGGGATAGGGGCTAAAACTCCTCAGGTAGGTCGGAAAGGGCTGAAACTTGTAATATCAACTTTTCTGGACCCCATTCACCTATATTCCAAATTTCATACGAATCGGTCTAAAAAAAATATTTAGGGGCCCCCAGGGGGCCGCCCGTATATTTTTTTCGATAAAACTAGTACTCCATTAGATTCGTACCAAATTTCAGCTCGATAGGACTATCGGTTCGCCCACAGCGAAATTTTTTACCTGATAAAATAGGTAAAAAAAGCCAGTGTATTGCAGTGTTGCCAATCTGAATTTGTGAAATTACACGATATGCTGGTCAAATTACACGTTTTTACACGCTTTCAGTTCTCACAATTACACGATTTTTACACACGATCTTGGTAGGTACCTATTTTGTAACATCTGAGCGGTTTTCTCGCATCTACTTTTTCGACATTAGTTCAAAACGGGCAATGGTGTTACCATTGCCCGTTTCAAACCTGTTTTGAAAAAAGTGGACGCGAAAAAACGGCTCAAGCCTGGAAAAGAGGTTACTTTTGGGCCTCAGTTTCCTGCAAGGATACTACACACTACTACTACAGGATAGCCTATCCTCATAAGGCCTATGTAGTTCAATTCTCGAGGCACCCCTGCCATGCCAAAGCACCAGTGATGACGTAGGAAACGTGTCGTTTCTCGTCTTGATATAGGGTGTTTGCACCACGGGTTATGATTCCGCGGGCTTTTGCTTCATGCAAACTTGGCTTTACTCTAAGGTTTTACTACAATTACTACAGTAATTAACATTCTAAAACAACTCTTTTTCATATCTCGTTTACATCATTCCTTTTCGCCTATTATGTTAATCAAAATTAAATGATATTTTTCATCATAAATCTAAATTCGAAACTACGACCGCTGGCGCAAACAGCTGTCGACTTAGTTAATGACGTCGGCAATACAATGGTATTATCCTTGTCCATAAGGGTAGTTACTTTTTAATTTGACCGTTGTTGATTTGACAGACAAAATATGATGGAATCACTGGCGTAGCCAGGGGGGGGGGGGGCAAGGGGGCATTTGCCCCCCCCCCCCCAAGACCCTTAAATTTTATGAATATTTCTTCGAAATTGAGAAAAACAGTCCCAAAAATAGCGTCAAGAAACCTGAAAAAGGGGCGTGGCACCCAAAAATTTCGCGCCTGCGGCGGTCGCGGTAGGGCCGCAAGAGACGCTTCCTGCAAATTTGGCCCCCCAAGACAAAATCCTGGCTACGCCACTGGATGGAATGGAATGCAAGGAAAGGGAAGAGAAAACGTCAAGTCCTATTTATGTTCCAATGGGGTCGTGGCTTTAGATTGAAAAGCCGTGAAACAGGAAAAGAATAAAGAGAATGTAAAATTTTTCAAATTACACGCAAAATACACGCTTTTTGTTTATGTTCGAAAAATACACGCAAGCCAATCAAAATACACGCAAATCGTGTAATTACACGCTAATTGGCAACACTGGTGTATTGATACATCATGATATATTCATGTGATGTAAATATACCTATCATGAAAACAAACGGAAAAGAGATAATAATCCGACTTATTGGAAATACAGGTTTAAATACTACACAGCAAAATATTCAAACTGTTTGTTAATGTAGGCATAGCAAAAACAACGAAAACATAAAACACACAAAGGACCCCACAATATTTAAATGGAAATTGGTTACCCGTGATATTTGGATGAAATTTAAATATGTTATTGGGGATGCCGTAAGCAAAATTTTTTACCATGGGTACAACCCTGTATATATGACAGGTGAGGCGTGGTTAGCTGTCAA